AATCGTTTATCAAAAATGGATGAATTGAAAAAATGTATAGAGGGGAAATTGATCAGCATTGAGTTCGAATCCATGGATATACTGTCAATCAATCCAGAACATATCAGTATACAAGCCTATATAATGGTGTTAAATAAGAACACAAAAACGTTGTGCGATATATGCTTGCTAATGTTCAACTTGTACAAAGCCCTAAATCTTAAATACCAAACATTCTGTTACGCTTTGCAAAACACGATTACCAGTTTTAAAACTACGATTGTAAACTCTAAAGAAATTATTTTGTCTGAAGAAAGTGATGATATCGTGAGACCCCGAACCCCTACTTTTAATAAAGCCAAATTTTCAACGACGATGAGTATCAGCAATACAAGTAGCTCACCCCCTGCTATCGTGTATAATAAACCCACCAATATGATTTCTAGGGATAGCTTGTTACTTGAAGACTTTAATCACTTGATGAATAAGGTTAAAAATTCTCAAAATAACATGCATGAACATGTGGGAAATCTCTTAGTGGGCGCTAATAAAACCCTAAAACATATAAATGATAGCTCAGAATTACGGAATGAAAACATGAGAGAAGCTGAAATAACTATAGATGAATATAGAATATCAAGTAACAAAAATAATTCGCCAAAGCAAGTTGATCCTAATAAAAATATTATAAATAGTTTAAAAGAAAAACTGGCAAAAAGGAAAGAAGATCTCAAAATTAGTCGAAAGAAGATAATATTTCTAAAATTGAGTTATCTAAATATTCTATTGGAATTAGAGGAAGAAGAAAGATTTCGCTTATTATATGCGCAAAAATACAAAAAGAAATTCAATACAACAAATAACTTTGATATGCTCAAAACATATGATATGAAAAGCAGTCTTCCAGAACCTTACGACGACATATTTAACCAAGATTGGCTCGAAAGGCTCAAAATTTCTCAAAAAAATCCTATAGCATTAGACCCGGCTCTGATCGCGACACATTTTAAACAAGAGATAGAAAAACTGACACAATTTTTGAAAGGTCTTGTCACAAAAAAAGAATGCATTAATTTGAAAGATGAAGATTTTCCTCTTAAATCCATTTGTCAAGTAATAGCCGATCGAAGGCGTAAAAAATTTGAAATGTTTGAGTTCATTCTTAAAAATGATACTTCTTCGAGCTCTTCTTACAATTGAATATGTATTTTCATTCATATTGTAATAAAAAACTCAGCTATGAGGTTGCATTATAACAGCAATATTACAATAATGATTCTTATATGTTATTATCTAATGCTAAAGATTATGAATGTTGTTCAAACAATATTTGAAAAAAATGTTAATAAACTTTAAAGGCCTTCATGGTGACTTTTTTGAGTTATTTATCTCTGTTTATCTCTAATTATAGCTTTTGCAGTAATCAAGTTGCTTTAAATTTTACTTATCAAAATTTATATTAAAATGGAGACTTATACTTTACAGGTCAAAGCGATTTTGTCAATTTACCAACATGAACGGAAAAATATGGTTGAATAGATCTTTTTTTTAAAAGCTAATTATAACTATTTATTTTCAACATATCTTCAGAATTACTTTATTTTTAGATTAGATTAAATTTTATTGAGGGTTTTACATATATTATTTTTAATTTTATTGCCTTCAAAATCCTTATCTAGCGAGATTAAATTTTTAGATCAAAAATTGCAAAAAAAATTAAAATGTCCATAAAATATAATTTTTTTATTGTGCATGTAAATTTTTTTTTTGAGATATTATAAAATTGATATCTTGAAAAATAATATGATTGAAAAATATCTTCTAAATAATTTATGCATATTTAGAAGTACTAAATATAAACTTTGCTGGCATATTTTATCAAAATAACGGTAATTTTAATTAATCCGTTATTCTTTGACGGTGTATCTGCAAGTTATTTTATAACAATATAATAAAGATAAATGGAAATATATAATATTTATTGCGCCTTTAAAATAATAAAAAAATTTTAAAGGTATAAAAAGATATATTCTATCAGCCTTAAAAGATTTGGGCTTTAGCCTTTTTGGACTTTTCATTTTTCTTTTTGCTCAATTATTAGAACCAGTTTGACCCATTATTTAATAAGAATGATCGAATAATATATATATGTTATCCAAATTCTAACGCTTTTGAATATAGGGCTGCATTAATATCTGAGCTTGGGTCGTCTTAATTATTCATGTCAGACTTGCTCCAGAAAACTCCATATGCAAAATCACTATAAAATTTTAAAAATGTTTGTTGTAAATGATATTAATAAATTCTAAATTTATTCTTAAGTTTTTTTTATCAAAATCAATAAAATAAAATCGTGTAAAAAAATTTAATCAATAAAAGTTTGAATTACTTTGTTTAAATTTAATATCAGATTTTCATACGAAATTAAAATAATAGCGCAGCATCCTAAACTGTGGCCACCAAATGGAAAGAACTCCTGTTCATATGAGAGTTGGCAGATATTTTTTTTTAAACATAAATGTGAAATCTTTTCCTCGAGATCCCATCTCTCCCTTCCTAAGTTTCCCTTTAACATCATCATCGATTCTAAACATTTCCCACATAATCCTGATGCTAATTTTAAAATAACTCTTTAACTACTCTGTTAGGCCTAAAGGGACTTTAATAAAGTTTATCTCTAACTCCTCTTTTCCCCCTGATATAGAATTTTCTTTACATCCCATAATTATTGCAGATTTTATCCCCAGTCTTTAATGCACCCATCTATTAATTGATTACTAAACATAGATTAGGAAGTACACTGAACCTTGCTTAAAGTAATAAGAAAGTAAATATTACCCTTTCTGGATTTTATCTTGGAGAAATGTTTTATTTGCCTGTATCAATGACGAAGCGTCATGTTAACTACTAGGGAAACAATTGAAATCAATTAAAATTTATATAGAAATGCAAATTCTTTTTTTAATTTTGCGTAAAAGTTTGATTGATATTTTGCAAATCGAATCTAGCATATTTTAGATTCGATTTGTTAAATATAGTTGAATCACAGAGTGCAAATGTGCTTTGACTCTTAATGTAGTTTAACTTCCTTAAAAATTATTCATATATTAAAATCCTTTATCATTCCAATCACATTTTTACTTTGGGAATAATAGGCATAAACATCATTATGGATAATTATTAGCAACCAGTAAGTCGCTCATATTTTTATATTTCTCGATAGAAAATTTACGTATATAAGATTTGATTTCCAATTTTTAAGAACTATATGGTTCGACTAATAAAAATGGAAAATGATTTCAATTGCTTCTATACATAAATAGTATATTTTTAAAACATTTCTCAAAGATATAATCTGAAAAGGATTAATATTTTCTTTCTTATTACTTTAAGAAAGGTTCGATGTACTTCCTAATATATGTTTAGTAATTAACTAAAAGATGGGCACATAAAAGACTAGGATAAAATTTGTATTAATTTTGGGATGTAAAGAAAATTCTATATAAAGCGTGATTAGATATAAACTTTATTAAAGTTCTTTAGGCTTAAACAGACTAGTTTAATAGTTATTTTAAAATTATCATCAGGATCATTAATCGTAAATACGAAGCGGGTTAAATGTTTTGGATCGATGACGATGTTAAAGGGAAACTTAGGAAGAGAGAGTGGGATCTCAAGGAAAAGATTTCACATTTTATATTTTACGTAAAATTCACAATACATTCGCATGATTTCCTCATGATTTATTAAAAAAAATAAGCAATTTTGAATTATGTGTATATTTTTTATGTAATAATAATATTAATTTTTTTAAAGTAGTAAAAAAGAATATTAATTTTTTAAACATAGTTAAAATAATAATATTTTTTTAAGATAATAAAAATAATATTAATTCTTTTAAGGTAATAAAGTAATAACGTCATATAAATTATTTAATGTAGTATGAATAGAAATAATTTTTCGAACGTAGCCATATGTTTATATTAATTTTATTTAGGAAATATTTAAGAAAAAGGGAATCTAAAAAGGTTAGGGACGCGGGCGGATTTAATTCCTACCTTAATTGGATTACATAAACAGCCATCGCCACTCCGCTGAGTTAGGGTGAATTTAATTCCTACCTTAATTAAATAAAAGAAAACGGCCTTCGCTGCACCGCTGGTTTAAGGCCTAAATCAATTCAGTTAAACAAACAAAAAAGAACGGCATTCACCGCTCCGCCGGGTTAGGGTGGATTTACGTCTTCATTAAATGAAAAGGGTAAAATACAAAGGGCATTCGCCGCGCGGCTGGGTTAGAGTGGATTTAAGTCTCAAATGAATTCAATATGACAAGAAATAGAATATCATACGCCGCATCGCTGGGTTAGAGCAGATTTAAGTCCTAAGTTAATTTTAATTAGACTCACAAAACATCAAACAAAAACGAACGGCATACACCTCACCGCTGGGTTCGAGTGGATTTAAGTCCTCTATTTATTATGACAAAAAAAAGAATGGCGAACGCAGCATCGCTGGGTTAGAGCGAATTCAGTCCTAAGTTAATTAATTTAGACAAAAAGAAAAAGAACGTACAGTACTATGATATACACACAAAAAAACAAAAAAAAACAGAGTTTCTTTAGTTTACAAAACCCCTCCTCGCTTAAACTCTGCTAAGCTGGAAAGGGTCCAAACGAACTTGCGGGTTCTTCCTGATCTTGATAGGTTCCTGGTTAGCAAGTGGGTAGGATAATTCTGGAATGAGTGGTTGATGTGTTATTGTTGTTGTATGTTTGTCCAACTGAGCAGTTGATTTGGTAATGCCCTAGATATCCACAATTGTTACAGGTGGGATATATATTACATTAAAAATTTCGGTGTGGGGATGTCTTTAAAAAGGTCTTAAGGACTTTGGAGAGGTATTTTTCAATTTATCATGTCAATATATAGTGATCTAAATGAACTCTGATCTCCACATGCCTTGACAAAAGGAATTGATGCTGTCAGTGATTGGCGTATTGACTTTTTCTATATCTTTGAATAATCCATGCAATAATTTTGATGAAGACAGTCTTGATGGTAGCAGAAAAGCCTTCACTGGCTAAAACCATTGCAGGGATATTGTCTAACAATAATATGAGGGAAGTTAAAGTTACAGGGAAATCTTTATACATTTGGAATGGCAGATTTAAGTCTGAACAAGTCATTTTCAAAATGACATCGGTATTTGGTCATGTTTTCTCAATCGATTTTGATATGGAATTCAATAAAAGAATTGATCCGGTATGAATTATTTAGTATGCAATTATTTCTTTGTTCAACTTCTAATAATCAATTTAAAATATTTTATTTGTAAGTTTTTTCTCTCTCTCATAGTATGGGTATTCTGGCTCATAATATGTTTGGATTTATATGATTTTTAAGGCAAGAGTAAAAAAACTATAAATAATTATTATATATATATATATTAATAGTCAGCACTATTTGGGGCAAAGATTATCCGGAAGGATGCAATGTCAAAGATGAGATTACCTGCATTTCTTAAGAGCCTTGCTGAAAATGAAGGAAAAGGATTAGATTATTTGGTACTATGGCTTGATTGTGATAAAGAAGGAGAAAACATTTGCTTTGAAATATTGGACATAGTTAAAAGATTTTTTAATGATAAAACTCGAATTAATTACTTTGATTTCACTGGACGTGGAGGAAATGTAAATAATTTTAATAGGAACAAATCAGTTTATAGGGCTCGATTTAGTTCTCTATCCCCTGGAGAAATACAATATGCTTTCGAAAATTTGACAGATCCAAATTATCTGGAATCAAGAAGTGTTGATGCAAGGTTTATATATTTATTTATATCTAAAAAAATTTATTATCTTATATACATAATAGGAAATTTGAACATGATATTTTAGTTATAAAAATATTTATTATGTTAAAACAAATGTAATCTTAATTATTTTAATATCCTTTTAAAATACCACTTGCAGAAATCAAAATAGTTTTGACTGAATCATTTAAAAAAAATATATTAGGCAGGAATTAGATTTGAGAATTGGTTGTGCATTCACACGTCTGCAAACAGCTCATATGGCAAAAACAATGAATACCAAAGAAAAAATTGGTAAATATATTTGCTTCACATCTACTTAATCAGAATTTAAAAAAAACTTTTCTGAAGTCTTTTGCATTATAATCACAAAAGATTTACTTAGTGTTGTTAAATGGTTCTAATTAAGCTAATTTTTAAAAATGGCTAACTCATTATTTTATCCAGAAAATATTACACAAGCCTGTAAATTTTTCTCATAGATGAAAAAAGGTTTGGACATCCCATAATTTAATCTTGAGGCTTATACTATATTTGGTTGGCTAAGATATTAACATTAGCCATTTTAAAAATCAACTCACATTGAGCTGTTACAATAGATTTCCTTATAAAAGATTTTTTACAAAATAGATATATGAAGTTTTATGTAAAATTTGAACAAATATCCTATTTAAGCATTCCCTCTTTTTTTCTTAAGAAATCAAAATTCGTTGGAGATTTTATTATTTTGATAAATATTTCAAACTCTGGATAATATGATTTCCTTATAAAATGACTATTCAGGTCAGTTAAAATTAGAGTTTAGAACCAGAATTTAGACCTCTCTTTAACATTTATGGGAAACCGGTTCTAACAAAAGTGCCAGTAATTTATATATATTTAAAAAAAAATTACATAATTGATTTTAGGGTTTTTTTTTATTTATTGGTTAAATTTTTTTGATTGACATATCAAATAAAAACTGGAAACCATCAGAACTACAAGTTAAGAACTGTAGCTGGAACTAGTGTTGTTAGGTGGCTCAATTTGAGCCAATTTTTAAATATGGCTAACTCAATACTTTAACCCTTGCCTAGTCTCAGATTTTGCTAATAGCCATCTATATGCAAAATCTTCAGACTTGCGTAAAATTTCTTGATGAAATTTGGAGTTAGCCATTTTAAAAATTGTTTCAATATAGCTGTTTAACAACACTAAATTTAATGCATTTACAATTTTAGAAAATAGAATGGAACCCCTTTATAGTTCAAACTCTGCTTAAAACTACAGGAATTTAGTGTTTTTTATGACAATAATATATTAGGGATTTTGAATTTTATTACACTAGGCGATTATAAAAATCATATAATTAAATCTTAAACAAACTATATGGGTGTATTTGTTCATAATTGTTGAATAATATAATTTTAGTTTTACAAATTGTAACCTTTATTTTAGTCGTAACGTATATTTTAATTTTATTTTAAGATTATATTTTCATTTTAGTTTTATTTTAAGTTAACCTTTTTATATTTTTTCAAATATTACTTCTGTAAAAAGATATATATATATATATATGTTTTGAAAAAGAGTAATAAAACAGATAATAAAAAAATATTTTTCACTTTCTCTACATGTTGCCTCGGTGTGAGGTTGGCAAAAATGACTCGCCACCATGCAATTTTTTTTCTTCTCTTCCATATATTTTTATGATGAGATGTTATATGTAAAAATACTAATAATAAAAATAAAAAAAGAAACAAATAAATTCTATATAAGAAGGGAAAAAAAGGTAAAAATTATTTTCACATTTTCACAATGTTTTCCTTCAAATTGATTAATATACCTTTCGATGTATCAATTTATGATATACTTTATGAATTTACTTATGATTGTGATATACAATATTCAAAAGAACCCAATAGTGATGATGTTATCTTTGAATTTTTTAGTCTCAAGGAGATGATTAGATATTTTGAACAACTTAACGGAAAATTTTATGTTTATAATGATTTGGAGTTCTTTAAGAATCCAGAAGTGGAATATAACATTAGGAGAATATAATTTTAGGTTGGGCATCTCTTTTTAAATGTAACTTGACGCTTGCTTTGTTGATTGGCCCGTTAGTCAATTTAGATTCACACTCTTTAATCAATTATTTTATTTCATCTTCGTAATTAGTGTCAATATTTGCTATGAATTTATTTAAAATATTTTTGAAAGCGTTGATCCATGTACGTCCCAATTTTTGATTCAACGACTACCTCTTGTAAATATTTTGAGATACCTTCATAAGTCACTTTAACTTGTGTAATGCCGATGATCTTGATTAAATTTCCGTCGTAAGCGGTAAGTTGTAACTCGGATTTCTTAACATCTCTAATACCAAGTTTTTTAGCCAGACCATGAGGTATAATAGTATGTTTGGAGCCTGTGTCGACTTGCATACTTGTAACAATATCGTTCACTTTTAAAGTAGTCATAAATGCATTATCTTTATCACTAAGCATGTCCCCAGATAAGTTGTTAACATTAAAATCGTTATCATCTTTGTTCTTTGTAGAGTCGACTTTCTCTTCAATAATTTCTTAAATATTCATATTGTAATCATTGTTGTTGTATTGTATTTGCTTTCTAATGTTGTTTGTCGCTACCACTATATTTATTTGAATTGTTGTTATATTGTATTTTCTTTCTCTGACTGTTGTCGCTACCTCTATAATTATTTGAATTGTTGCTATAAGATTGGTAATTGTTACAATTTCCGTCACCGTATTGGGTCTGTTATTTTTGATTATTATCATGCCATGTATTATTTCTACCATAATTAGATTGATTAATATTGTTGTAGCGATAGTTGTTGTAGTTATAGTTATTATAATTATCTTGGTATCTAGAATTATTATTACCGTAATTCCTATCATAGTATCTGTCACAATTGAGAGTTGTCAGATTGAGAAACAGAACCTAATCAAATAGAAATAAAAAATATATACTAAAATCTGATTGATAATCTTTATTAAATAAATAACTATAATCAAATACAAAGTGACACACATAATCAAAATAAAAGAAAAATAAAATTAATATAAGAAAAATAAAAATAAAAAATTAAAAAGTAAAAATTAAAATTTTAGTTAACAAAAATAATCATCAATTCACAAATTCGGGGTTTATATATGTTAACAGATTAAATATTCACAAAAAAAAAATTAATATTCAAAAAAATTTTATATGCAAAATTAAAATTAACAATAATATTCTCAGTACATTCAAGTTCGTTAACAATAATTTTAATATTCGTCTCACATTTTAATATTCAAATCATAAAATAAAAAATTCTTTTTATTCAAAAAACTTCATAACTTTAACAGTATCTAAAATTATTATTATTGTCGTAATTCCTATTTTTATTCCTATTATAATTATTATCTCTATTATCATAAATATTCTAAAATTATTATCAGGTCTAAAATAATTATTATTGTCATTTCTATTTCTATTGTTAAGGTTTTTATCTTTATCAGACTTTTTATCGTTATTCATATAACTTATATTATCATTATCTGGTTTATCATTAATACTATCTAATCTAGTTCCTAACTCCACCATTTCATTTAAGGTTAAATTAATATTTTTACAAAATTTATTATATTTTATTTTGCCATTTAAAGTAGACCTACGTAATTTTTCTTTTAATCTATTGTCGTCCGAAAAGTTACATTTTTTATGCAGCTTTGATACTCTTATGTACCATTGCATGAAATTCTCACTCGCATTCTGCTGTAATAAGTTGAATTTGTTTATTAAAATATTTTTATCTTGTACAGGTAAAAGGTAAGCTAATTTCTTAATCACTATCTTAAGATCTAATATATCGGCATCTGAGCAAATTGATTTAATATTATCAAACACATCATCAGATAAATTATTAAGTAAAGTATTTATTTTAATGGAGTTTGGTAATGTGTTGGTCGAAAAATAACACACCCTATCTAAATAAATCTCAGTAAGTGGTCCAATAAGTTTTGGAAATTTATAAAATATGAAATCTGGTTTAGTGTCCATTTATGTTAACTTTTATAACATTTCATATAAGCATTTAAAATAAAAATGATACGTTTATTTTTATAAATATACACCGGAGTTGAATAAACTCCAAATCATTATAAACATAAAATTTTCCGTTAAGTTGTTCAAAATATCTAATCATCTCCTTGAGACTAAAAAATTCAAAGATAACATCATCACTATTGGATTCTCTTGAATATTGTATATCACAATCATAAGTAAATTCATAAAGTATATCATAAATTGATACATCCAAAGGTATATTAATCAACTTGATTGTAAACATTGTGAAAATGTGAAAATAATTTTTACCTTTTTTTTCCTTCTTATATAGAATTTTTTTTTTTTTTAAAAATATTATTATTAATATTTTTACATATAACATCTCACCATAAAAATATAAGAAAGAGAAAAAAAATTGCATGGTGGCGAGTCTTTTTTGCCAACCTCACACCTAGGCAACATGTAGAGAAAGTGAAAAATATATTTTTATTATCTGTTTTATTACTCTTTTTCATCACATACATATATCTATTTACAAAAGTAATATTTGAATAAATATAAAAAGGTTAACTTAAAATAAAACTAAGATAAAACTAAAATGAACATATAATCTTAAAATAAAACTAAAATATACGTTATGACTAAAATAAAGGTTACAATTTGTAAAACTAAAATTTTATTATTCAACATTCTCCTTCTTCTAAAGAAGCCTTCACATAAGTTTAATTGTGCTGTCATAGTTAGTTTTCACTTTCTCTACAAAAATATTTCCATCTTTGCAATCTGAGTGTAAGTTTGCATGCATGCATGCAATCTGGAAAATTACATTAGGGGCACTATTATATGTCAAACCGATCATGATTCTTCTGTCCCCTTGGGATTTTGGGGAAAATTTTATATACCAAACTAAGGTACACATTAGAGACCTTCATGGGCCGGGCTGGCCCACAGCCCGGCCCATTAAATTTTTAAATTCAAATTTAGCTTATTTTAAGGATATTTAATAGGACAAATATAACAAATCATTCTGATTTTATTATTGTTATTTATCAAATTTCCTATACACCTTGGGAGAGTATATATTTTTTAAATCGGAAATTGGTATAATTTTACTTAACTTAACACAACGGCCTGGGCACGAAACAGCCAAAATCAGGGAATATTCCCAAAAATGTTTTCAAAGATGGCAAAACTTCGAGGATTACTAGAGCTACCAGTAATTTATTCTTTATAAATCTTTTTAGCTATATAATATTTTTAGCTTCATCCTCATTATTGGATATGTCTTCATGGGAGGATGATACAATACTTCATAATGAGAGGGATGCTGATGAGATTAATTTATATATGGATATTCAGCTAAATGAAGAGGATATCAACTATGATGACTGCATCCTAGATTGGTGGAAAAAGCATGAATAAATCTTGCCAAAATTGGCAAGATTAGCCAAAAAAAGTCATGCAATTCCAGCATCTAATGTTTCCAGTGAACATAATTTCAGTACTATTGGAAGGGTTATTGAAGAAAGAAGAACAAATTTAAATAACGAAAATGTAGATAATATATTATTTTTAAATGATAATTTGGAAATATCAATTAAAATTTTGTTTATATCATTTATTAATATTTTATATATATATTATTACTAAATAAAATATTATATTTCTATTAGTATTACTTCAGCATAAGTTAAGTATACATAAAATAATTTTATGGGCTTAGGAAATTTTTTAAATATTATAGTGGGCTTGGGAATTTTTTTAAATATTAAAAACGGGCCGGGCCTGGGCTTAAAATTTTTTTTACGATGGGCCTGGCCCGGGCTTGGTCATTAAATCTAGGCCCATGAAGCATTGTTCAAAATTTTAGCATTCTAGCTTATTTTTTGTAGATATCAAATATGAAAAAATAAACTATATGCTTATCAATTGTTATTCAATTAAAGATTTGTTTTAATAGATTTAATATCTAAAATATTTATAAAAAAAAATGAGCTTCTCTGATTTTTATAAAATTTAAAAAAATACCATTAAGACCAATCTGTATTAAAATAAAATTGGAATGATAAATTTTTGCTTTAAGTGCGAAAATTGGTAAAAATACCTTAAAAAAGTAAGAGTTTTTTTTCAAAATAGATAGCATATCTTATTAATTGTTCTAATATTATTCAAAATGCACTTATATGATAATCTATTTATATAATTACAACATATATTTATGCATAATTTTTTATAAAAAATTGTGAATTTGGGTTAGTTTAAAAATATTTTCGTGTAATGGTATATATATAGATAGATGTAATTTGCTCTTTTTAAATATTTTCTTACCAATAAAAATTAAAATATTGCATAAAACATATGATGTTGAATCTCAATTATAATATGAATATCTTGTAAAAAAATGGTTAAATATATTAAAATGATAATTATTAATCATAAAACAAGAATTCCATTGTAAATTTATATTAATTTCAGGAAAAAAACAAAGCTTAATAAATTAATATAAATTGACAATGAAATTCGATGAATAATTATTTTATATTATCTTTTTACCATGAAAACAGTAAATCGGCACTCCAATTTTTACATAAAGGCTTAGGATCTTTTTAGTGATATTTGTTTTAAATTTGAAAAAATCGAAAAAAAAACGAATTTATTTTTTACAATGATTTTAAAATTCAGAACGAGGTTAAAGGGACCACCACATTAAAAATAATTTTAAAAATATACTCTAGCGACTTTATTTTGATATTATAATTATTTATGTATAATTCAATATTTTTTAGTGTATCTTTAATGGAATGCTCATCAATTAGCCTATGATATAGGCCATTTTTCATATCTTGACCCTTTATACTCCCAAAAAATATAAGGATTCGGGTGCAAAAATGTGAAAACTGCATTAGTTATACGTGTGCCTTAGTTTATATATAAAAAATTACCCAAATTCCAAGGGGGCCCACGAAAATCATGCCCTTTTGATTGATTTTATATAAAATGATCCATTATTTTCTTCAAGATGTGATATATGAGCCATTTTTTGAGATTTCTTCCTCGTAGTTATTTTTTTTAAAAAAAATATTTGGGACACAACACACCTGCCTAGAATATAGTGTGGTCGAAAATAAAATTGATTTTATACATCTATGTTTTCAATTAATGAATTACATAATTTAGTTGTATCCTTTGGACCCTGCCAAACACCCACCCTAGGATTTTGCGTTGCCAGGGATGATTTTATCAAAAAGTTTCAAAGCCAAACATATTGGGGAATCGATGTTAGGGTAAAAAAAAGAATAATAATATTTACTTATATATATATATGTATATATTTATGCACACATAAACGAATTACTTCACTGAAACAGGTGTGATCTAGCTTATTCGAGTGTTTTGACAATTTTCTTGCTATTTCAGAATTGATTCTTCCATTTATCTTAAAAATGAAAAAAAAATGCAACTCCGTTTACTTTGTTTAAAGGGATATGCAAATGCTTTAAAATACGTTATCATCTTATTATTTTCTGATTTGCTCATTTTACCCCAAACTGTTATCTAAAATTTGAGTATTCTTTTTTTTATATATATGCAATTTATGTTTATCCAAATATTACTGATACATACTATTTACAAATTACGTATACATATTTAAAGGTTTCGTTAGACAATCAAGCTACCGGTAATAGCTATTATTCGAACTTCAACCGCGACCAAGATACGTTGAAACTGTATTGGGACAGGGGCCGAATTTTTGACAAAGAGGCCATTAACGCCTTCTGCCTATTAGTCAGAGGAGATATTAACCAGGGGTAAAAAAAACAATATAAATTTTTTTACTAAAAATCAAATGACTATTTTCTTTTAAAAAATAAATAAATAAGTGACCTCCTACTTGACAATAATTAATTTTACATTGTTTAAAAGGGTCATTTTATAACCAATTTTATCTCCCCCTCTCCCTCATTTTGCGTTATTTGAAGTACTATTAAATCATAATTCTAGGTTTTAACATTTTAAGATTTCCCATCTTCTAACCCTGAGATATTTAATGCTAACGTTAAGTTAAACCTAGATAAAAACAATTCTAATAGGATACATTGGTTTATAGAATATTCTGATGAGTTTTTTAAAAAAATATAGAATAGGATTATTTTAAGGAATAACTATTGTAGATACACTGGTCATAGAGGTTTTTCATTGTATTATATTAAGTTACATTGAGGAGTTATAATAAATAACATAGGTTTAAAAAAAGATAATATTCAATTTAAAAAAAAATTAATGCTATGGAATTAGACCGCCCAGAGCACTCGTGAAGTCAATGACGGCCAATATAAAGCAATGCTATCCTCCGCTCCCTTTAAACACGGTTCAATTATTGAGAATAGCTAGTTCAGCCTTTGGTAATGATAACAATACATTATATTTTTATGTGACATAATTGTTTGGTTTAAATAAATATGTTCTACAACATCTCGATAATGTGATGAGTTTCCCTAATAAATTTGGCAATATATATATTAAAAATAAACATTGGCTTTTAATGATGATTGAAACAATAACTTATATCTGTATTACTTTAAAAACTATAAGTTCCATTTTTTTATATGCAACTTTGTATCGTGACTTGTAATTACTACAAATCTTTTAATATTAAGTGAGTTATATATCACGAACTGGGGCATATGTACATCGATCAATCCAGTCCATATATGCTCTAATATTTTTTAGTTGGGCAAAATCAGCTGATTCGGCACACTCTACTGGCCAGTGCCTAAGAAAATTTCCTAAGCATTGAGGTTCAGATTTAATGTATTCCTGCCTTCTTTAAGGTTGAGCTATGTTTTCAACAAAAAAGATCAGAGACTGAGATAGTTGTCGGCAAAACTTAGGTCCGCCAGCAATTTCCCCAACTCTCATGATAATTAATTGTGAAGATAAAAAAAAATAAACGCGAAGGGTAATTATAATTTAAAATGCATTTTCTCCTGGGCGATATAAAATATTCTCCTGTGAAATTCAAAAAAATTCTGAGCCTTACAATTTTTATTCTGAGTGAAATAGTATATGTCATTTCAATATTTTATTTTGATTTGGCTTCATAATATGGAAGTTAAACAAATTTTAAGCGCTTTGTTAATTGGACTTCCCCATTATTGTATAAGCATAATGTTCTATACACTTTACTCACATTTGTACAGGTCATAGTCCGCACCACACTATGGATTTGGCAGAAAAGCTTTACACCTCCGGTTATATTAGTTATCCTAGGACCGAAACGTCCGCTTATTCGGCTGGATTTGATTTTCAATCTATCCTGAACGCTGCTAGATCCGTTCCACATCTGAGCCCTGCCGTCAATAAAATAATGGCCCAGGGTGGCCCAAACCAACAAAACAGGTTTGGGGGTAAGGACGTCGGCGACCACCCGCCCATAACCCCCACTCCACAAATATTGTATTCTAATTCCTTTGATAGGGATGATGGGAAAAAGCAGATTTACGACTACATATTCACCCATTTTTTGGCTACAGTTAATTCATTTATTATTTATTAAATTAAAACGTATTCCTTCCTTCATAATGAAAAAATTGAAAATACGCATATATCATGGAAACCGCCAGAAATGGCAAATATTTTAGGCCCAGTCTTATTATTTTGAAAATTTTGCCATTTTTCTAAATAATTTTGGTTGCATGGCCCTGGCCCACCCCTAAAAATTTTTGTACATATTGTCCGGCCTGACCAAAAAATTTATTTGCCAGACCCATCCCGTTATAGTTTTTTTTTTTAAAATTTGCCCGACTTAGCTCGACTCGTGTATTTTTTTATAATTTACTCAGCCAGGCCTGTAAAAAATTTACCAAGGTTTTTTTATTATTATAAGGCCTAGTTTAGGTTTTTTTTTTAAAAAAAAATGATTTCTTTTTCAAGTCTGTCCCTTGCCCTATTCGAGCTTTGGTATGGATCAACAGATCTCTTATAAATTATATTATATATAATATAAACTTAAATTTTGTAAGGCTATGTCATAAACCTGGTGGTTTAAAAATTCACAAAAATGAAAAAAACTTTGAGATATCGTATGTTAAAATTTCGAAATTTTATAGAATTATGTTTATTTGTTTTTAGTTTTTAATTAAAATTAGCCTATTTCTTCTTTCGTTAAAGTTTCGAAAGTTTACGAAATATATTTTTGATATTTAGGACACCCTAAAGAAAAAAAAGTTTTATATAAATTTTATTCGCATTTTTTTTTATAAAGGCTTCTTCAGGGAAATATTAATGTTCTAAAATTCAGATACGAATACTTGTATCTAAGATACAAGTTACTTATTTGGTAGCTTCTTATAATCTTGTAATTTTTATAAATCTAAATATACTATTTCATAAGAGTACAAAACTATTAATAGAAAAGATATTATTACGTGAGACAAAATATATAATAGGAAACAATATTTTGATAGATCAGACTAGCATAAACGTCCATTAATATTTGTAAAAAGGGGTTGTTTTTTTAAACTTGGTCTAATTTGTAAAAGTTTTTTGCTCGACTCTATCCGTAAAAAAAATCCATAAAAGTTTCTTTAAAAAACACGAAATTCCTGGCCGGTATTTTTATCTAAATTTTGAAATAAGAATTTAACATGTTATCACCTTAATTTGAAAGAAAATATATCCAACTCCGATTAAATTCATAAAATTAAAAGGCTTAAAAATATTCTTATAATTATTATTATCATCTAAAAAAAATATAATTTTTTTTTTCCTAGTTGATGGGAAATGCTAAGTACCTCGAATACGTTACCACTTTCGAAATAAACGGTGAAATTTTTAAAAGCGAACACAGGGAATTATTGGAAGCCGGATTCATGGAGATTATGCCATGGAAATTGGGGGAGAACGGTCTCACTAATAAATCCGTTAACCATCAACGGACCGAATTCAAGGAGGGAATGATTTACCCCGTCATTAAAGTATTATATTATATATTATATTTTTTTAAAACATTTAATTAACCTTTCTCCCATCTTTTTCTATCTTCTTATAATTCGGGCTTATTTTCCATAGAAGGTCTTGCGTTTATAATCTGGAAGGGGAGGGGCATCTCAAAGATGCTCGCTGGCCGAGAAGAGTTCTATCTAGGGTTTTTAAAAAGCCCGATTCGGATTCATTCTTAAAAATGACCCGATTAAGATTGTAGCCAAAATAATATTATGTGAGCCTCGAGATTTAGCAAATGGAGGTCCAAATCCTTCGGCCATCTATGAGCGAAAACTTCAGGCTTACTAACATTATTTTGGGTAAAATCTTAACAGGTCGTCTTTTTTAAAATCGACCTGAATCGGCATTTTTAATAAACCTTGTCATAACCCAATGTTGCCCGGTTTAACTTTTCCGTTCGCTTTTAATATTTTATTTGATGCTGATCATTTTATATCTATAGGCTACGCCATTTTTAATTCGCATGTCATCGTGAAAGCCTGAACCTGAAGATTATTATTTATTTTTTTTAAAAAATGATAGTTTTTAGGCAAGTGAACAACATTTAATTTAATTTATTTTAAAGTTGGACTCTTTGAAGGGTAAATTATGGAGATGGATCCGATCATTGTTAATTCTCAGGAATTTATTCTTCCATTTGGGAAAAATGCTTCCCTTACAAAATACTATTAGAATGCAATATTTGTGGATTGGGGGGTTATGGGTGGGTCGATCGCCTGCATCCTCATTTCTCATGCCTTGTTAGCTGGTTCGGGATATCCTATTTCACAAAATAGAGGCACATTAAAACGTTTTTTTTATACTGAATAGCGGGGTACGTTTCAAAAACTATGACGGTGTGCGTACCATATACGATAAAATATCTTGAACTGGACACTCCAGACGGACATACAACCTTTTTTATTATGTTTATTACTATATAAACCTTTTTTTGTTCAAAAATAAAGGTAGAAACAACAGAATATCAAACCAAACCTCCCAACTTGCTCACCGAATCGGAACTTATCAAGCTGATGGAAACACACGGGATTGGCACAGATGCTAGTATTCCAGTCCATATCAAAAAAATAATTGACAGGAACTACGTTAAGATAGTGGGTAATGTAAAATTATTACAATAATTTAAACATAATTAGTAAGTAATCATTAATGGCCATGAGATGTATAACCTAAGGAAATGTGTGTATATATATATTTTTTTAAACTAAAAACTACAGGTAACACTGCTAATCGGAAAAACTTCAAATCATCTTTTCAAAACAATGATTTTGACAATGACCAAGAAGGAAATACTAATAGCGGCGGAGGAAAAGCTAGGTTACCCTATATTTTTTTATTAAAAAACTACTAAGTTCTGAATATTAGAGTACGCTTCCGTTTCGTGAAAATATTAAAAGCACAGATCCAGGGTCTTAATCCAGATCCGGGGTCTTAATCTTCTTTTTCTCTCTTTCCTTTCGTTTTTTTACTCTTTCCTTTCTTTTTCTTTTTACTCTTTCCAAACTTTTTTTTCTCTTTCCTTTCTTTTTTTTCTCTTTCTCCTTTTTTTTTCCTCTTTCCTTTCTTTTTTTTCCATTCGTCAAATATATTGTCATTGTTTAAAATTAAATGTTACGTATTATTAAAAATGAATATCGTTATTTCATATCAGGTATCTAATGCCAACTCAACTCGGAATAGCTTTGGTGCATGGATACGAAATGGTATAAAATATAATTTATTTTTTTTGAAAAAAATAAATATCGCCATTATCTTACTTTTTAACGCTAACGTTACATTTATATTAATCACATTGACCTCCATATTTCCTCTTTTAGGCTGGATTCATTCATATTTAGATCCGATAGGATATCGATCATCTGTTAATCGTGTCGAATTGGATCCAACTATGAATCCAGCCTTATAAGGGGGTAAGTTATAAGAGTTGTGAAAAATTACTTTTCAAACATGTCTAGATATCGAAGCCAATACACTACTTTGAAAGAAATCTATATACCGATGCACTCATAAAAATATTTAGATACGAGTGTATACAATAAAATCCGTGTAAAAGTGTGCATAATATAAAAATTGGAAATGGTAAAATTAACTGAAAAATTGTTCAATTCCATCTGCAACTAGTGTTGTTAAAACGCTTGATTTGGGTCGATTTTTCAAAACTTTCCGATTAAGATTTTAGCTAACATAATATTATGTGAGCATCGAGATATGGTAAATATATGTCCAAGCATTTCAGCTGTGTGCAAAATCTTTACATAATGGTATTTTTTCGTTTTTTAAAATCGACTCGAATGGGTTTTAACAATACTATCTGCAACCAAAATTTATTATTAAATGATTCACACAAGTTTGAGTAATGTTTTGAGGTTTTTTGGGGGAAAAAACAATTTAACACTTTCTTTATTTGATTTGGATCTAACCTTCTGGCTCTTTGTTTTTACCAATATAGCCCAATTTTTTTTTCTTAATATTAATTTATAAGTAATATAACATTGAATATAGATACCTTTTTTTAAAAAAATATCACTAGTTGTGGTCAAGATACGATAAACATGTTAATTTTATTATAGTATTGTTCATTTTATTTATTAATTGACCAATAAAATTAATTAATTTAAACTTTTGACTAAGAAAATTCAATAGTTTAAACTTCTTACCAAGAAAATTTATTAGTTTAAACTTATGAACAAGAAAATTCAATAGTTTAAACTTTTGACCAAGAAAATTCAATTTAAACTTCTGATCAAGGAAATTTTATAGTTTAAACTTCTGACCAATAAAATTTAATAGTTTAAAGTTCTGACCAAGAAAATTCAATAGTTTATTCTTTTGACTAATAAAGTTCAATAATTTAAACTTTTGACCAAGGAAATTCAATAGTTTAACTTTCTTGTATACCGATTATTTCTTCTTCATTTGTAGTATTATTTATGAATTCCATTGTGCAAAATGGTGACGTTAAAGAACCTGGTTCGGGCCAGTGGCGTAGCTCTCGGAGGGGGCGGTGTTTCGGGTTTGGACCCCCCCCCCCCCCTGAGCAAATTTTTCCTTTAGATTATACGTTCAAAAGACTCAAAAGTGACTTTATATCATATAAATTCCATATATATTTATATTTTTCTGGTTTTGATGTTTGTGGAAGGATAATATATTACCATTGGAATTATTCTGGATAGTATTACAGAGTCATTGAGAATAATCTACTACTTCTGATTATTATAAAGAAATTATTTTTTTACCAATATTAAAAACAATTATTACTCACTTTAAATTAAAATTTGAAGGGCATAGCAAATATTTTAATTTTCTTTTGCCATCTCAGAACAATTAATTATTAACGATAATTTAATATTCATTAAAAAAATTTGTATTTTTTATGAATCCGACATTATCGGAGGATACGAACAGCTAAAATCAGATACTGAAGCTTGGTATTTTGATCTAAGCACCATTATCCTTACAGAGCATCCCAGCAAATCTGTTGAGGCATTACAATTAATATATTTAAGGAAACTCTAAACGTAAGAACAAATATCAAAATACTTTTAATATTAGCAACGCTTCCCGTAACTACTTGCACCAATGAGCGGTTATTTTCTACATTCACTCGACTTAAAAGTTATTTAAGGGCAACCTCTGGCCAGGCGAGGACCAATGGATTGGCTCTTCTGAATATATATAGAGATCATAATCCTACCCCAAGGTTTTAAAAGCTTGTATATTAGACATTTTGCCTCAATAGAATATATGAAAATTTTTAATATAAATTGCCTTAACAAAAATAAAAATTCAGAAAGGTTTAAAATAATGGACCTTACTCTTATGCATTTAGAAAGATTATAAAAAGATTGACGATTTAAATGTCGAATATAATGTCCTAAAATTTCTAATTTTTTTTCGGGAAATGCTTATACATTGTGATTTACAAATCATAAGCAATAATTTTATATAAAATTAATCATAAATAAAAACTATCTACATCTTCTATACTTATTAAAAAGGCATTTCAATGAATAAAGCAGGTCTTTGAACCGAACCTGAGTTATAAGGGTTGAACTCAGATCCATTACCCCAAATTTATAAAAAACGAATTCAGTTTGGGTTGATAGAAATTATTTAAATCAATATTTGCTATATTCTTTGCTTTAATATAGATTTTGATAAATCCATTTTCCCGTTTTCGGTTATAATTTTGCCTTTAACTCTTATTTGAACCTAACATGGCTGAAGTATTACTAGAGTTTGAAGTCCTGCTTAAGATGTTTTATTTAAAAATAGATAGACGCAGAGCTGGTACTACCTACTATGCGAGCCGCGATGGAAAAGCAACTGAACTTGATTGCCAATGGTGGAGCCCTCTACGATAACGTAGTGTCTCACACACTTAACAATTACGTGAGCAAGTACAGATTTTTTGAAAGCAATCTCGGCTTAATATCCACCAGGAACATAGGATCGCTAACATCCAATTCACCCTCTAATGAAAACGGTAAATAGTAATATTTAAACAAAAAAACGGCTATTAGATCAAGGGAATTTTTGAATAAATAAATTCGGCTAATTGAAATGAAATAAATGTAATTATACATTTATTATGAATTTTTATAAAGTATACTATATACTTTCGTCTCATCTTATATTATTACCATAAACTTCTTTACACACATAATAAGCAATATCTCTATCAATCATAAAATCATTATGATCCGACCTGTGAGGCCTTAAAAAGTGTAAATTGTCTAGAATATTTTTTTAATTGTCTATACCTCGAGTAAATGATTTGTACCAATAATGACAGGAATTGGAAAATTTTTTTAGTTTCGAAATCTAAATATATGTTTATAGTTTATCCAAAAAAATTTTTTAAGAGATTTGCCAGTTCTTATAATTATAAGAAACACATTTTTATGCATTTGAATTTTTTTTATTAAAAGGTCGGGGTCGTTCCAATTCAGGCAACCGTTCCGGATTTGGGCGCTCATCTTCTACAGGTTTTAGATCGAGGAATTCATCTGGTGGAAGTTTCAAAGGTGGAAGAGGCGGTAGGGGTGGTGGTAGAGGAAAGGTACGAGGGCGGCGAGGGGGTGGGAAACAAAGCGGCGCAAAGGAAGTCACCATCACGGCTAGGTACAATATCGCTCCACCACCTGTAGTGACCGGAAGTAACGGATACGTTTCTGCACCAATTTACAACACTGAACGTCTAAAACGCTTCTTGGAATGAATGATTAGTTAAATAGATATCCTAGAATAAAATCATTAAATATTAATGGATTAGGGATTTGTTTATTTGTTAATACCGTTATTTATATAGTACTACCATATTGTATTGTATATATTTTAATTTTAATTATAGCAAAATTATTTTTTGTTACCATATTTATAGAATATAGATTTTGCTATTATTGAGTGTACAGATGATTGTTACTTTTACATGATTTAACATTTAAAATTTGTGCGAATGTAATAATTTGTTGTGTACGATTACGACAAGATGGATAAAATGCAGTTAGATTTAATTTAGGTTGTAAAATATTGGGAAATTGGAAAAAGCAAAATACATATGTTATGAATCCAGACAAATCTCAAATATAATTAATTTTGTATTTATTTTTTTTAAATAGTAATTTTATCATTTCATTATAATAAAAATTTACATAATTCTCTGAAATGAGAAAATATTATCTTAAATTTTATGACGCTAAAAAATCCACTTGATTCATAGATTAGAGCTCTGTATGCAAATCACTAATTAAAATTTTTCCTTTGAATCAATCGATTGTTTATATTCAATTCAACTATTGTTTAACCTCTTTTTCTAAGGAAAATTGATGTTAACCGAATGGGAATGGATCAAAAATCCCATTATAAATGATAAAATATTTCAAAATAAGGTGCATTTTTTTTGTAAATATCTCGAGTTTATTTTTTATACGTATGCAGAGGTTTATTGGGGTACTACGATTTCTTTTGAATAAATTCTTTATTTATATTATATTTAAAAATCAAATTTAATACCACCTATATCTATGCATCTATAGAAATTATAGAGGTCTTATACCAGTTTTGGATCTTTTAAAAGTATATCTAAAATAAAAATGGAATTTCTAAATGGCGCGATATCTGTAAATATTTGCTTCTATAAAACGTCTAGATGAGAGGGGGTAAGAGCAATTTGCCTTCAATATTTTTTGAAGACCAAAGGGGAGTAGGGTAAAGTAAAAATATACACTATTTGTAGATTAAAGAAAATAACTGATAAAAAAATTAAATTTGTAAATAAATATAAATTACTCATTCATTTATTGATAATATATTAGTACAGTTTTCAAATTATACAAGCTCCTGACTAATATTTAGAGTACGGTTAGTAACAACTAGTTGAATATCGCTAACTAATGATTGATCATATGTTATTCCTACCTTAAAAATAATCATGATGCCTGAAAGAGTTTGATTAGAATTGTTTTGAAAACTGGCTTATTATAATATTTTGTTAATAAATAAGGTGTACTAGCGTTATTTGGGGGGGGGGGATTTAGAGCATCGAGCCGTGTGGACAAAAGCTCATCGTGTTGAGAAATATGAAACACCTTTATATTCTGGTTGCACTTCATATGGTTTTTTTTAAGTTTTCACATCACGATCAAGGGTTTAGAAATAAACTAAAAAATTATTGAGGTGAATATTTATTTAAATTGCACTTATATGTTTTTAGTTAAGATTACTAATATTTTTTAGCATTAATTTAAGGAAAAAGAGTGGTAACATTTTATATTCTTTATAATTTTAATTTAGGCTAATATTGATAAAAAATATTCTTCAAGTTATATTTATTGAATAAAAAATAAAATAAATTTTCTGTCTCTATATATATATATCATGTGCCGTTTGACTAGAAAACTGTTAAATATATGACATTTTAGCAATTTTAACAGTATATACTGATAGATATATTAAGATCATAATAGCTCACACGTTAAAAAAATAATACTCTGACTTAAACAATTTTATTTTTATCCCTACTGTCACTCTTTTTATTAGTGGCGCATCTAACACTCCGTGCATCATGGAGGAATTTGATTGACAGACCCATGTAACAATTTTTCCCAAAATATTGAAACCATTAAAGAAATTATCGAATTAGATGCATTGTAGAATTTACCATATAGCTATAGACTACAATATTATTTTTTTTTAAAAGTGAAAAGATATTTTCAAACTACCACAAAGTCTCTCATGTTGTAATTTTAAATTGAAAATTTTTAAGATCATATTTTTTAAATTATTTTATTAAATATTATATAAAATATAATATAATACCCATACGTAGTTAGTATCAATCTAGACTTAAAATAATTAATAATTTTTAAAAAATTTACGAATAAACTACTATTATCACGCTGTGAAAATAACTCCTTTTATTTTTACTTTTTAAAACATAAAAATAAGAATATTTATATAAAAAAAAAATGAATTTTAAAAAAGAAGAAGAAGAAAATGATGAATTCAAAAAAAAAATGAATTGAAATATTTCAATTTTGCTTCCCTTTTTTGGGAAAGCGAATAATAATTTTAAAAAATAATTAAAAATTAACAAGTTAAAAAATTACAAACCACCTAATCATGCCGAAAATTCAAATTATAAACTAAAAAATACATTTTTTAAAAATTATAATAATCATAATTATAATGACTTTACAATAATCAACTTTTCTAAATCTAAAAATAAAAGGTTAACGCGATTAAACTATAACATAAAATTATAAAAATAAAAATGATTCACCAAACGCAATACATAATGACTTTACGTAAAATCAAATTTAACAAATCAAAATCCCAATTATGACACTGTACTTGATAAATATTTGAAAAATAAATCAGTAATTAGATTTTGTAGCTTAAGGATTCGCTTTTGACTTTCTTCCTAAGTTAGTTTACTAAGTAAAAAAATTAATTTATTTATACTTATTATTTTATCGGATACGTCTTTATTTTGTGAATAATATTTTGGTTTGAGGATATGAAAACTCGAATCTATTTTAACGGATGCATTATTTTTGACATTATGCTGGCCGTAAAATAAAGTTAACAAAGTTACATAATTTTCTTTTTAAGATTATTTGAGAATTTGAAGGTTACAATAGGATATTTGGTAAAATATAAATAAAATTTATAGTAGATTTTATATAATTGGCGGTAAGATTAGTAGAAATTTTATAAAATAGAAAAAAAAACAGTTGGTTGATATTTTGATAAAATTTAATGTAAACAGAATTGCCATTTAATCATTTTTGGCATGAGTGATTTTAACAATTTTAAATTTAGCAGCATGAAACATTTAAAAATTTCCTTTTTAAAAATTGACCACAAGCCAATAATTTTGGCTTAAGCAATCCTGTGCGCATATGTACTCTTCAAATATATAATGAAAAATGGACAATTTTAGTTATTCTCTAAACATGGTTTAGCTAAATGATAATTTTTATATTTTCTCAAATTTCACTACAAATAATTTTATTTCAATTTTTCACTTTATTTCAAAATCTAATAAATTCCAACAGTATAATCATAAAATTCAATATCAAATAATTCAAATTCCAATTTATAAATATTCAACTCATTTTATAAAATCACCGACTGAATCTATTATTACTTTTACAATAAAAACATATTATTAAAAAGAATAATAATCTGATTGACATCTCTTGAAAATAAATAAACATTTTTATTTTTCTCTTTAATTCAACATTTGCAACACGCCCACCCTTCAAACGCCCAGATACCATATAATTATCGTTCTTTAAGGACATTATTATTTCCTCGTCATCTATCGAATCTTATCTTTGAACATCATCGACTTTTAACTCTTGAATTGTCTCCTTTCGACATGCGGATTATAATAATTAATATATTTTGTATGTTTTATAATACATATAAATTTGGATTCAACAATCCTTTACAATTATTTTCTTTTTCTTAATGTTCCATTATAAAACAAATAATTGACCACAAACAAAATAAAAGAATACGAATAGGGATAAAAAAAATAATTTATAATTATCACTATTAAAACTACATAAATTGATTTTCGTTATATCCATTAAGAAAATAATATGAACCACAAAAAAAAATATTAAGACATGTCATATAGCAAAAATACAAAACTACAATATATATATATAATGCCACCACAATCATATTTTTTATGTTACAAAAAAAAATATGAAGATGTGCCGATAGATAACAAAAATGTTAATTTATAATTATAACTATTAAAACTATAAACAATATCATCACATCACATTCATCTTTTTTTTAAAAACTTTTTTATTTTACATAATTCTTCACTAGGTCAAAGTTTAAAATCTTTTATTGTCCACCGACTTTTATTTAAAAGTTTCTTTTTTTCTTTACCACATAATATTAAAAAATTTTAATTTTACATTGTTTCACAACAATGTCTCTTTAAATTAAAAATAAATACATTTTTTTAAAAAATTAATCTACAAAAAGTTTGTATTTCATTGAACTTTCCATTACCATGCCACATGTTATTATTCACATGAATTTATTAAAGTCAATGTTTTTATTTTATTGATAAAAATTTAATTCTTAAATTAAAATATTCTTCTCTATTGTTTAAGATAAATAATACTTTTCTTCCCAGATGTTATTTTTATTAAAACTTTTATTACAATATATTATCACTTTTAATTATGCTTTACTCAATTTTATATTGACACGAAAACACCAACACTGATTAATTTCTTTTTCAATAATCAAAATTTTTCATAAAACTATATATATTAAAATATTTATTATTCTCTAAATATGATTTTTCTATTTTTATATGATTCTCTTTCAAATCATATAGTCACTGTGACCCACTCACACTTTGGATACAATGTATGGCAATGTGTCCCATTTCTTCACATTTGAAACACATTCTATTATGGTCTGTATTATAAGTTTTAATTTCATCCACATTTATAATCTGAGGATTTTGTATACTTCGAACCACTGGATTTATCACTACCAATGTTCGTTGCGGAAATCCATTTTTGAAATTGGCTTCTTTCACCATGCAATTTCTTTTTATATGTCCTACAAAACCACATCTATGACACACTATTTTTTTCACTTGGTTTTGTAGTCACATTCTCATTAGTTTTTCGGTTTCTTGAATAACAATTTTTACCAATATGTCCTTTTCTTCCACAAAGTTCACAACTTTCAATCACATTATTACATTTGATTTTTAAGTTGGAAACTTCTCTAGACAAATTTTTCATATTTTCTCTCATTTCTCTAATTTCACGTAAAATTAGAGATTCCTCTGTACTTTGTCTCAAAGTATTATTAGTGTTATTTGTACTATTATTTTTCAAAATTTCTGCTGGTTTCTCGATTAAAACCTCAGAAATTTGCTTTTTAAATTCAATCACAATTGAATTTAATTTTTTATTTATATCCTCCGATATGTCAATATTTTGAGGAAAATTAAATACGTCACCCGTATCTAATATTTTCTCATATTTTTCTTCAACATTTTTTTTACCATTTAAATTTTTTAATTCTAACAAAATTAAATGTAAACTATTTTTGATATCTTCAGAAATGTCTGGAGATTTCACCAAAACTTTAGTAATTAAATTTTCAGTATTTGTATTTTTTATATGATTTTCTCTATTTTTAAGAGATCTTCTTTTTATTTTCCTTATTACTTGTTTCATTATAATTAAGATTACATAAAACACAAAAAAATTAATGCAGTAATGACATTATTGGTCACATCCACTTTATTAAAGTTTGAATTAAAAATTTTATTAAATTACTCTTAAAATTTGACATTTTATTAATATTATGCTTATTATAATTATCATTAAAATAAAAAGCCATTTTTTCATTAATTACCCAAAATTTTATCTTATATATTTCTAATTTGAATCCAAAAAATCTTACTATTGCGTTGTGTAATTTATAATACAAAAAAAAATTTCTTACCTTTATATATCCGGAATCCACTATTATTTTGAGGAACCCGGTCCTGGAAAATTTTTTTCTTGATTAATAACGTCTGCAATTTATTTTTATAAAACACTCTTGTTTTATTTTTTTCCTCTAAATATTTCAATTTTTATAATTTTCTCTAACTTATTTTTTCCCTAATAAGTGTTCACGAATCCTGGTCGTTCGGTACCATTTTTATATTTAAGAAATTTCACTACAAATAATTTTAATAAAATTCTCTTTATTTCAAAATCTAATAAATTACAACAGTATAATCATAAAATTCAATATCAAATAATTCAAATTCCAATTTATAAATATTCAACTCATTTTATAAAATCACCGACTGAATCAATTATTACTTTTACAATAAAAACTTATTATTAAAAAGAATAATAATCTGATTGACATCTCTTAAAAATAAATAAACATTTTTATTTTTCTCTTTAATTCAACATTTGCAACAATAATGAACTGTTAAAATTTTTCAGTCAGTATACCATAATTGTCATAATAAAATATATATCATTGGATAAAAAACGTTTTTTCTTTTTAATATATTTTTATAACGATTTGACTAAATTTGATCCGTTTTTATGTCGAGAGGGGAAATTTAGTAGTAAACCAGTGGTATTTTTAAAAAAATTAATGCCATAAATAGGTTTATAGAAACATTTCTATATTCCAAACTATTTCTTTAGACTCTATTTTGCTGAGAATTAACCCCTTCACTAGGAGAGTGTAGAAGGGAAGAGGGGCACATTGGACGTAGGCCACTATAAAATTTAAAAGGCTCCTGAAATTTTATTTTTTTTAAAAAAATAACTAATAAGGTAATTTTAAAAATGTATTCATAAAAAAGGTCGTTTTTAAAAATATATATTAAAAAATATAATTTTTTCTTAGAGTTCAGAAAGTTAGTGATGCCACTAAGAAAGAGATGCAAATTATTTGAACTAATTTTATAAAAATAGATATGAGATAGGGCCTAAACATAGTACCAATTTAGAATTTTGATATTCGATGGTAAATTTTTCATTTCATGCCAAGGAATTCAGATTAATCCGAAAATCTAATGTAGAAATTTCATAATTTTATTAAAAACAATATTTAAAGCGAAGAATATATATAAAATAAGAGAATTGCCTTTATCAAAGGGTATATTATTATATTTATTTTTTTAATATTAATATAAGGTACTATAAATAACCCCTTGAAAAAGGAAGTAACCTAGAAGAGTATTAAAGAAATTAGAGAATAAATTTATTTATGATTGGAAATATTAGGGAATAGTTCTTCAGTTTGCCTTAGACTCGTTTTATATTTTTTTAAATAGTCATTTTTATATAAAATAATACGCTTATCTATGATAATTTGTTTTATCATTGTTATATAATCAATTAATGTTACTAGCAAATATATTATGTTGATTACATAATATAAGATTTTTATAAATATAATATTTAAAATTAAAATAAGAATATAAAATATTATAAGCTGATTTGTATTTTCAACCAAATATCCTTATAATTTTAGCAACATGGGTCGTATGTATGGCAAAGGGTAAAAAAAATAATATTTTTTTGAAATGATGATTAATTTCATTGATAATTATGATATTCAATATTAGCTCTAACTGAAATTTATATAATACATATGTATGAAATTATAAATTTATTATATTTATAGTAAAGGTATATCGCAATCGGCATTACCTTACAGAAGATGTATTCCAACTGTAATTTATACGAAATATATTTATATATTATTTTTTTTATCAGTGGTTAAAGCTTACTGTAGAAGAAGTTAAAGAACATATATTTAAATATGCTAAAAAGGGTTTGACTCCATCTCAAATTGGTAAATATTTATTAATTCACAAAAAATGATTAAAATATAAGGTATAAAATTACGAGACCAGCACGGAGTTGCTCAAGTTAAAAATTTAACAGGAAACAAAATTTTAAGAACACTTAAGGCGTGTGGGCTTGCTCCAGCTATTCCTGAAGACTTGCACAATTTGATAAAAAAGGCAGTTGCAATGAGAAAACATCTAGAAAAAAACAGAAAGGTTTATTTATTATGTTTAAGCAAATTTATTAATTTTTTTAAAATAGGATAAAGATTGTAAATTCCGTTTAATTTTAGTAGAAAGTCGAATTCATAGGCTGGCCAGATATTACAAAAGAAAAAGCATACTTCCTCCAAATTGGAAATAGTAAATAAATTTTATTTGTTATATATCATGTATTTATTTTAGTGATTCATCAACTGCTTCTGCTTTAGTGGCATAAAAATATTATTATATATATGTATGCAAAATTAATTTATATTTTAGTTTGATAAAATAAATATATATATGGACATGAAGTTTTGATTTTGATTCACAAAATTTTATAAATAGCTAAATATGGTGGATTAAATTTTTGAAAAGTTATATATCACAATATCAATAACTTTTATATGTATTGAAATATAAATTATTCAATACAAAAAAAATGTTATTGAATATGTTTGTGTTTTATCAGCACTTCTTAAAGATATGCCTTAACATTGTATTGGGCCTGAACTCTTGAAACCAAATTTTTAAGAGGATATATTCATTTTTATTCATTATTTTGATTTTGAATCCTTATAAAAAAATTATTCATTTGAATTTATTATGCTTAGCTAAAAAATACAATTTTAATAAAAATTTTAATTTATGCCAAAATATTTTAAAAATAAAAACCTTAAATATTAAATAGAAATATTATCAGATATGTTTTATTTAGTGTAAAAAAATTTCATATCAGTAAAGGAATTCATTTTAAAAATGTATTAAAATTATTGAAAACAATGTAATTATGTTCCATGATAACTTGATTTTTGTTATAATGAATTATAAGTTTACTTTTCTAATGGACTTGCTTTAGTTTTTGTGATTTATTTTATTTTAAATATTATTAATAGCTTAAGCAGACATGATAAAATATCAAATTTTTATCTTTCATGATGAAAATATTTTAAAAATTGAATCTATTCTTAATTTTAATATGTGTAACCCATATGTAAAATCACTTTCCTCAATACCATTAGGCAGCTGAATGTTTATAATTGACAAAATGAATTAGATCTACCACTATTAGATCCCTTTTTCTAATTCCTTCAGGTGCAGTTAACAAACACATTGATCATGTTAAAAAATCATTTTCCCTATCATATTTTTTTGAGTAAATTTTCCCTCCAAAGATTATATGAGAAATGTTACTTTTCCTGACTTAAATGTTGATTTTAATTGATCCGCATTTGGTAATTATGGCAAGCAATGTACTATCAAGTGAAATGAACCAGTTAAAGTGGTAAGTATGGTGTAGGATATCAAATGGATTTGGTCGTAAGATGAAGGTTAGGGAAATCTGTAAATTTTTCTTGTGAAATTATTAATATGTTTGATGAGACATTATGACACTTGCACAGGCATAATGAAGCGAATTTTATGAAGTATATGAAAAATGTAATTTTTTGGAATAACATGCCTTTAAAGGGTGGGCATGTTATATATAATTTTATATAATAAGAATGTCAATAAATATATAAATGCAGATTTGTAGATTATATATTTAATATATGATATGCATGGTAAGACAAAGATTGTCAATCAATATAGAGATCTTTTGTTGTGTAAAAGTTATATGATTAGAATATGATGTGTACAAGTTTAATTTATTTTATTAGGTATATAATTAATTAATCTTAGTTGTTATCTTAGATATATATAAAAAAAATATATAGAAATTGGAGATATTGTAAACAACATTTTGGTTCCTCATAAATAAAATTGCCAAGTCCTATAGCTGAAAAAACGACTTTTATATTTTAAATAGGGCTTTTAAATGATTTTTTTTTAAGCAATCATTTATTTTTTATTCTATTTATATAGCAATCAAACAAAATTTATATAACTTGCAAATCATTCATACTATTTTTATTCCATATTTTTCATTTACTGACATTTTTTATTATATAATTTGGTCTTTTCTCAAAGAATTTAAATTATAATGTGTGCATATAATTGCTCTTATAATATCCACTGATATCTACTCACTCATTCATTTACTTTCGATTAAACAAAAGAAGCTTGAGTTGATATATCAAAAATAAAACATGCTATAATTAGCAATTCATTTGTTGTTCAAGGATTGGAATATCATAAATATTTGGTGGCTAGGTGAAGAAATTTTGAATATTCTTTAATACTCATTTTTATTTGTATTAAATGAATTATGGCTGCAAAATTGGTCGAACAACTATAAATAATTTTAATTAAAAACCTTTTTATTTTTCAAAGGAATATAGACTTAAATCTGACCACGTTTGGAATTTTTTATTTAACATTTTAATTCATCTCTAAGTTCTGACCAAACATCAAAATATTCGATGCAATTTATATGCATTTAATAAATTATTTTCCATTGCCTCCTAAGGATTATTTGTCCATTTTTAATATTTGTTTTAAATATTGATTTTATTTATGGGAAAAAAATTCCTATAATACCGTACATATTTCTAGACGTTTCAAAAGAGAACATGTTCTCTTAAAAGAACGTCTGGTAAACCCAATGGGTAAACCTACATATACATAATTTACATTAGAATTTTATGGAAACTAGAAAAATATCAGTTTTATTTACAAAAATTAATTTGAATTTTTAACGATGCTTCATAATCCATATTAATCGTCTGTATTGGTGACATGTTCTCTTAAAAGAACGTCTGGTAAACCTACATATATATAATTTACATTAGAATTTTATGGAAACTAGAAATAATATCAGTTTTATTTACAAAAATTAATTAGTATTTTTAACGATTTCTATTGATTGGTTTTTTAAAAAAAAGACATTTCTAATATATATTTTATCCCGCTTTTTTTAATATTATACTACTGGTCTAACCTATTTTTGCAAAACAATAAAAGGCAATTGCCATATTAAGATTTTCATTATTATTTTTTAACTTGGTCTAAATGTTTGTTTTATTTTCACTAATAAAATCATCCATATTGACTTCTGTCATCCATTTTATTTTTAGATCTAAATTGATTATGGTTAAATCTCCCATCGTGAATCTATCCCTCTCATCCATTGTCGACAAGGTAATGTCATATTCGCATATGGATCCTTTCCAGACCAATCCTACTAGTCTTGTTAAACGACTCGATTTGCGCCTATTTTTAAAAACGTTTAATTCAGTATTTTATCCAGAAAATTATTATGCAAAACCTGAAGATTTTGGTCATAGTTCGCACAAAGGTTTGGACATCTATTAGCGAAATCTCGAGACCTTAATGAGTTAGCCTTGTTTATAAATCGACTCAAATCAAGCTGTTTAACAACACTACATATACGACATATGCATTCATTTATGAACACATTTTATAAGTTACTTTACATACCAAAATAAAAGTACCATAGAAATTTTATAAATAAAATTATTTGTAGATTATTTACACACTCTTAAAATGAATCGATTTGAAAAATATAATACAATAATTATCAAAACATGTAAAAAGGTATTTATGTGTAGTATAGAATACAGTAGATATGTGACGTATCTAGAATTCACCTAAATATTTGTTATTTCTATCATTGTATAGGAATTATTATCTTTATTCTTCGACTCCACTGCAACATTTTCCTTATCAATTTTGCCATCAGGAATTTTTGCCTCTAATGTTGCTTCTAATTCATAGTCTTCCAAATAAGCCATGTTATATTGTTCAACTTTCAATTCCTTCACAGGGTTTAGTTGAGATTCAGAGATGTTACTATTGTTAAGTAATTCTTTGATATTTCTTTTCGTACTGACTCCTTTTATTTTCTTATAACTATTGCCAACTTTAATCGCAACTTCGGCACAATGGTGAGGCAATAATTCTTTTTCGTAGATTACTTCAGAAGCAGAGTTATTATTACAACCTTCGTCCTCTTCCAGAAGCCTTTCATTATGGGGTAGCGACATCTGCCGCTTGTATATACTTTTTTTGGGGCTCGCATGATAAGGAAATACACTTCTTTGGTTGGAGGAAGCTTGGAACACGGTTAAAGCACTAAGTGGTGGGTCTTTGTCAGGGAGTGTTGACTTTTTAATTGATTTGCTCAAGTTCTTCGATGTTAAGAACTGATAGGAAGAATAATAATTATTTAAATGCGAAACACCATCTTTTCTCACGCGATTATTATTTAATATGTCATTAGGATTATCTGGGTTATCGAAATTATCATTGTAGGTGCTATCGAATAGCAGTTGGGAATCTTTATTGCGAGTCATCGTAGAAGGAAATATCCATGATTTGATTTCGGAAGTTAAGGAAGCTCTCGAAATTTCTGGAACCCATTTATTCGTGGTATAGTCTTTAGAACCTATAAATGGATGATAATCATAATCCAATTTCTTACTATTACTCGATTTTTTTTTTCTTCTCTTCTTGGAGCTTAAATTGAAGGACTTTCTCTTTGAATGTCGAATCAAGGAGTTATCCATGACGAATTGATTAGTTTCTCGTGACGCTTTAGAAGAAGACGATTTGATTTTAAGACGAGAAGACAGTTTTCTCAGTATATTTTTGCTGGGAGGATTTGTTATTAATCTTTGCTTGCCTACCTTAATGGCCGAAGGCGGGGCACTAAAACTTCCATTCAATACGGGCTTTTTGATGTAAGGAGTATCGTTATTGGTAAAATCTTCTGCCACATAACCTGCGGAAGCTCTTAGCATTCTCTCTCGCATTTTTTTGCTGTGAAATTTGGCCAGGTTGGATATATTACCTTTGACAGTTAGGTCGTTCTCTTCCGTAAATGTGCTATTGTTATCTCCACCAGCTCCACCCCCGGCCGATATTTTCTTTTTCCTACCGCCTCCAAGAATGATTAAATTCCCGTTGGATATATTATTCAAATCGCTGTTCAAGCGTTTAGTGGGATTTGTGAAATCGTTTTCTGGAATTGTATCGGTATTATTATTATTAATCTTGGTTTCGACATCTAATTTACCATTAACTAAAATAACAGGCTTTTTTAAGATGTTCTGATCATTGTGTAAATGGTTGCTAAAATTAAACATCATTTTACCATTTCTAGTAGATGTATCGTCATCCTTGATTTTAGTCACCTCGAACCTTTGTTCTTTGATAGGCTTCAACCCATTTTGAGAAAAATGATTAGAGATGGATGACCTGGAAGAAGGATATTGACTGAAAAATGGATTTAAATTCGTATTCATCTTAATTTTATGCTGGTTATCCAGGATTTCGCTTTTGATAGACTGGTTAGATTTCCTATATATATTTTTTTTAAATGTTCAGTATAAAATTTAAAAAGGGATTAATATATTTTTTTATTAAAATATTGATTTAACTTAATTTTATCCTTATTAAACCAAGTAAAGTGTATACTTTTATTCAAATATATAGCGTTAGCCGAGTATTATATACCCACTTTTTCTGTAAAGTGCATTTTTTTTCACGATGAATCAATTCTTCAGTAACGATAAAAATGTTATAATTTAACTCCTTTATTTATTATTACACTGTTAGCTCCTATTTAAAATCCAGAACGACCGAGCCCTTATGGCTGTAATAACCCTTACAATTTTTAAAATTGTAACTCAACCTTTATATAAAATCGAAAGGAGCGAACCGAACCTATATAATTTTTTTGAACCTAAAACCGTTAATATTTATTGTAGTTTTACACTATATATTTGACAAGTAACAATTTCCCTGTGGGATTTATATTATCTTTATAACGATAATTTTTAAAAAAAAATTCCTTAGCTGATCTAAAACCTTCACATTTATTTTTATTCATTTTGGACTAAGGCCATAACAAGCGTTTTAGCTTTTGGGAAATTGAGCGTTTGGTAGTTATATTGGTGGGGGGAAATTGATTCTATAAATATATAGTTATAAATTATTAATTTTAAATTTATCAGAGACCCGCAAGCTCGGCCGACCGGATAGAAGGGCCGGGCCGGGTTTTATTTAATTTTTTGAAATATACCCGAACTAGGCCTAAAAACATTTTTTTTTAAATACCCGGGCTTGGCAGAATATTTTAAATAGCCAATATTATCTATATAAATTAAAAATAATATAATATATTTAAATAAAATACGGGCCTAGTCTAATAGGAAGGTTTAAAAAAAATCAGAGCCGGGCCTTGCAAATGGTTCAGGTTTATGAAATATATTATATGTAACACCTGTTACCTTAAAATATGGAAGTGATAATGCATCTAGAAGGCAGACGATAAAATATTTTAATGTCAAATGCTCGCAATATCCAAATTTTTTGAAATATTATTTTTCAACGCTCGATTTTTGATTTTCTCTCTTTTAATCTTGTGCACTCAAAAGCTAGAATGCTCTGGTATGGCCTTAGATTTAGATAAATGAGAGTTTTAAATTAAAATTTAGAAAATAATTATAAGTAAAACATTTATGAGAATGCATCACAATTCAATAATCTCTATCCTCCCATAAGCTTACGAGACTGGGACCCTCTGGGAATCCCATATGAGTAAGGCACTCTGATAAAAAGCTATGCCAATTTTTTAATATTAAACAGCTGTTTAGTCTAGTTTCTAATAAGTTTCTCTCATTACATTCTTCTAGATGTGCATCAATGGGAGAGTCAATAGTAGTAAAAGTCTGCGGTACACCTCTAACGGCCTTTACCTGCCCTATCCGAGACCAGGCCCATAGATGGGTCCCGTTTATACGGGGTTTTAGTCCAGGATTGACCACTACAGTGTTAAGCATAGTTAATTTATTTCTCATTTCTTTTCTAGGAGAGTTTTTATTCATCCATTTGCCCTATGAAATTCAAAAGTCATATGCAACATCTATATCCTTTTAATTAATATACTCCAAAGCAGGAGATCTTGTCTCCTCCCCCCCCCCCTTCCTCCCATCTCCCAAAAAAAGCTTTCTAATAAGACAAAAAAACTTTCATATATATGAATTCTTGGCTAATAAACATGGAATAGATATATCCTCCCCATAAGTCTCTCGGATGCATCTCTATGAAAAGGATATTAGCGTTTATTCAGAATAAATCATACATAATAATTAGTTTACAATATATAATATGATATTTTGCTATAAAATAAAATTATTAGGCCAAGCGTAACCAAAAGATTTTTTCAAAAACGAAAAGACCGGGTTTTGAACCGGTTTTTATTATCCGTGGTCCCAATTATTGTTATAACGGTCTTTAGTCAGGACCGGTTTATTAGTATCGGTCCGGGGCAAAGATCAGATCGCGACCTTCACTAATTACTAGGTATTTATTTATACATAATTAATAAATATGGAAATCCATACAAATTTCAGTTAACGGTAAGGTAGAATAAAAAAATGAATGGTTTAAATTGCGGTATCAATCAATAGAAGCTAAAAAATTTATAGATATTGTTATATCTGATTTATAATTATATAGATGACATTGAAATTGTTCGAAATGTAATTTCTTTGCACTAGAATTAAATTTATAAAAAGGCGATCAAAGATAATTTTTTTTATACATGTATTTTTATAAACCAAGTAAAATAAAAATAGAGTTGAGTTACTCAAAAATTGTGCTAGATACATAGTCACTAAGTCTAATGCAACACAAAACACTTCCATTTTATAACTAGCGGTATTATTAATTGGTTATCAGAAATTGTCACGATTCAACTAATGATTTTCTCCGACATTGTATGTTTATCTCTTGGTAACATTGAAAAATACTTGTATTTTATCTATAATCCAATGTATTTCTTAGTTATTTCTATAGATCTGTCTTTAAAACCTGGGGAAGGGAAATTACTGTTACCTTCTGGGTGTATATATCAAATAAATTCAGATGATGAAACCGAAAAATTCTTACTTTTACAAAATTTTTCTGGATATGATTTAGATCTCCAAAGTAATAATTGAATGATATGTTTCCTAAAATTGACTCCTATGATCGGGTTGAAAGAGTCACAAAAGATACTTTCATTGATGGCCTATTGGGGAGAGAAGAAAATGTGAATATCCTGAGTTATTTCAACTAGCATAGTCTCAGTAGCCCAAGTCTCAGCTGAAAGAGTTTTCGGGGCTAAAATTTATTTCGCCCTCACAGAGTACCATTATAAATTGTAGATTTTTGGTAAACATTAATATCACGCATACGTTATAATCATATTTACGAATAAATCAAATTATAATATTTTGTTATGGTAGTGTATATTGTACATCTTCTTAATAAAATCAATTTACGTTTTTGCATATATTTTTTCGACATTTTTTATTTAAGAAAAATTTTGATATAAAATAATTTAAAAATTTAAAACCTCAAAAAAAAAATCTTTTATGATCTTCCTACAATTAGAATCTTTAAATTATTTTTATTCACGCACTTTATTCTTTGTAATATAACGGATAACCGCTTCGAATTTCAGTTTAAAATACAAAAAATAATTTTTAAAAATGATCTATGAAATTTTCTTTTAAATATGGGTACTTTCTTCCCTTCCCTTACTTCCTTCCTTCCATCCTTCTTTCGATATTGAACACTATAAAATTCAGCCGAAGATATAGTAATATATTTTTTAGACCTGCTCCTGGCAAATGATTTGGATGATAAGCGATGGAGCGCATCTTGAAAACTATTGAGGGGGTTCAGATTTTTCAAATTTTCCTGGCTTAACCAATCGATCTCGTTTACGTCATCTCTCGTTAAACTATTTTATATATTGTTTTTTTTAAATTAAAAATTTTTTTTATCGGAGCTTACCTTATTATTTTTTTACTGATCCGCGAATTTTTTTTATTCCACCAATCAAATTTTAAAATCAAAGTCCAATCTAACCGAGTACAAGAGGATGACGGTCCGAGTCGGACTACCCGAGTTCAATTGGATCGGTGGCCGCATGACTCCATTTTTTTCTTCTATATGTTATAAACTCTTTAAAAATTTCTTAACTTTCCATATTTTGAATGATAAATTTAAATCAAATTGTTTTACTGAATATCAGCGGTGGATCCCATCCAAGAATTTCTCTTGTAAAATTTGGAGGCCTCCGTATAAGGCAATTCAGGTTCTGGGTCATCCCAATACACATCCTTTTCCAAATCAGGAAAAGTGCTATGCAATTCGTCAACTGCCAGCATGGAGATCTTTTATGTTCATTTTTTTTTGTTATTATATCATATACATGGGGACTCCGGTATCTTTCAATTTTTAATCAATTTCCGATTTTTAAATTTTAAAAATTCTGATGTGACCGGAAATGTGTTCCAGTACATCTGTAAATTTCGGACAACTTTACTTAGAACTTTTGAACTAATTCATTTTTATATAGATTTTTTATATACATTAAAAATTACACCAAATTTAATGGCAAAAATTTCTAAAATTCATGTTGGAATATATTTCCGGTCAAATCACACTAAAAATTGCACCCAACAAAGGATTGAGAATTTTTCGAATCCCCATGGATTCCATTTTCCAATACAAACATATATTTTGTTTTTAATATAAAAATTACGCCTTTTTTCGAATCTCGCAAGTAGTGTTGTTATGGCTCTTTTTGAGCCGATTTTTAAAACGGATTACTCAATATTTTAGTTAGAAAAAATATTGACCAGACCTCGGGATTATGCCATGATATTTTCCTTGATAAAAAATTGAATTAACTGTTCTCTAAAATCATCTCGAATCGAGCCGTTTAACATCAGTACTTATACTTTTTTGGGCACTCTATACGATATATACAAATAAGCATTGTATTTTAAATTGAGATTTTCTTACTTGAAAATTTCTATCTATAATCCAATTGATTTCGAAATCATCTTCGTCTTCTCCGAAGGGATTCATTAATTGTTCCGCTACCTTGTCGAAATACATTATAAAATTTTATTATTACGAGAGATAGGAGAGATAGAAATTAATGTAAGAGTCGGAGTTCAGAGACCAATCAGGTTATTTTAGTCCACCATTACTTTTCCACTGCTACATTATGGTTTATTTGTTATATAGTATTTTTAATTATAAATTTGATTAATATTTTATTCTTGCTATCAATTATATATTTCTCATGATATACTATTTATTAGGTTTAAAAAAACACTAATCAAATTTAAGGTAGCATAAATTATATAATTTTTTTAAAGTGACAAATAAAATTTATTCTAGAATTAAAATTCTTCTTTTACCTTCAACCATCCCATGTAAAATAGAAACTGAAGAAAGGTAAAAACTGGGAAATATATGTCGAACCGATTGGTATAACGTTTAGTTGGATCCAGAATTTGACGTCCCATCAGATTAGCTATGAAATACATGTAATTAGCCAAACTCACTACCTGTAAAACAAATTTAAATTTATGGCAATGTATATATATGTAATTAAACCGGGATTAAAGAAATAAAGATAAAAGCGAAAATGGAAAATAAATGAGAATAAAACCGTAGTCATCATTAAAGATTTATCAAAATATGTACCCGTATGCCTTATTAATTTACGGCTCGTTTTGAGCCGGATTTTAAAAACGGCTAACTCAATATTTCATCCAGAATACTAATACGGAAGCCTAAAGATTTTGTTTGTAGAAGGAAGAAAGGTTTTGACATCTATTAGCGAAATCTCGAGGCTTAGGCAATATTTTTCTGGCTAAAATATTGAGTTAGCCATTTTTAAAAATTGGCTCAAAATGAGCCGTTTAACAACACTACTCCATTATAGAAAATTACGATTATGCAACTATAAAATAATATATAGAGTGTTATTATAAAAACCTGAGTGTAGACTAAAGGAACACTGATCCAATCGTAGGCATAAAGGGCAGCACATTTATTCCTGAACTCTGCTAACTGCTAGCAAAAAAAAATGAAATTTGAATTAATTTTGGCAAAAAAATAATATTAATCTTTTAAACTTTCTTCCTTTCTAACATTTTTTTCCCCTCTTCTCTCCTAATATATACAATTTGTAAATCTACCATGAGAAGAACCCTGAGACTAAAATCGTTGATCAACCTTTTTTCGTTGTAAGAGCCAACTACTAAATTAGAAAACCATATGCATGGAAGCCACCATTTTGAATGAGGAGTGGCTAAATTTTCGAAAATCTTCAGTTCTTTGTAAGTCATGAACCCTGAAGATTAATTATCATATACAATATATAATGCAAATTGTTTAAAGACTAAAAAAATCTTTTATAACTAGATTGATTAAAATCTAATAAATTTTATTTAGATAATTAAAAATGAGTCTTAAAATTGCCTTCAAAGAAATTTAAACTTCAATTTGGGCTGAATAAAGGAGAAGTATGTCTCTAGGGAATATAACAACTAAATGTTCTCGAAATTACTTATCAAAAGCATTTTTAAAATAAAAATAGTTTATTAATTCTTGTTCTTAATTCTGAAGAGAACATTTTATTTAAAAAAAAAGAAGTAGAGGAGACCAGGGTCGCAAGGAGCTTAAAAACCAGATATGCTTAGAAAATTTAAATTTAATCATGTAATAGCATTGTATATAATATGTATACTTAAGGCGGAAAATATTTTATACCCCTCGGTTATTTAAAATTTTTTATGATAAAATATTTTTAGGTAAAGATCTAAATGTCTTTAGAATTTTTAGAATGTGCGCTGCTTTTAGGCTCCGTTAATGAAATTAAATAAAGTATGTCATAGGTATGGGCTTTGTTTGTCAACAGTCAAGTTCACTCTTTGACAGTGACCAATGTGTTGCAATCTATATATTTATGTGGTTGGATTTATGTCACATCTCTTTCTTCCTCAAAAAATGTTGTGCAATTCTCGGGAACCTAGCTCAAAATAATTCTCTTGTAATTTATTTGTTAAAATTTTTATCAATTACATATATTTAAATTAAAACATATTAAGTGTTAAAAATATGTATATAATACTCTCCCAAGTTTAAGTGATATAAAGGCTTTTAATTACCAGCTTCAACAACGCTTTCCATATCAGGGAACCGCCTCTTAACAGGTGCACTGATGGAGCGGAAAATTAGAACGGACGTCAAATTAAGGTACCTCATAAGGGTTCTTCGGATTAACCTACTTTTCTCATCTTTACCCTGGATCAAGGAATTCACCATTATCATCGTTCTTTCAGAAAAAAAATATAAATAAATTATATTTAATTTTCAAATCTATAATCCACAGTTAAATAATAATTAATCTTGGCACTTCTATAATATATATTAAATTGACATTCAAAATAGGTTTGAAGTGGTAGGTAGATTAAAAAACCATTTAATGGTGTTAACTTAAAATAACACCTTTTGTAATTAAATTCAGATTATTTTAAGGATTATTATAAAAATATATAAATGGTAGATATCATGAGCCAAGTCAAGACGGGAAATTTATAGTGTAATAGTAAGATAATGGAGATAAGAAAGAATAAGAAAAAAAAGTTGAATAATTGAACTAAAATATAAATAAAACTTTAATGGTTTAGAAAACTACATATTTCATGAATATTGAAATTTAAAATTCAAGCATCAACTAACCTCATATCTATTCATCTCTACGGTTTAAATATTGAATACATGAATAAATATTTAGAAATTTAGAAGCAAAGAAAGATAAATATATAGAAAAAATATAAGAAATATGATTTTTTTTTCAAAACTAACTCATCCGGGAAAGGAATAGATTGGAATTGTGCCCACCATCTTCCCACTATCAAGGATACGAAAAATCCCAAAACGAAAGGTAAAGGAATCAGATTAACGAACGTATCGCAATACAGTACTATTTGCTCGAATTGGCTTCATTCATTCATCCATCCATCCATCCAATATTTAAATTTTATGAAAAATAGACAGTTTTTTTTAAACTATTATATTATATAAACTAGCTAAAAAAACAAAAATGTTAAAGAATTATAAAACATGGTTTAAGCTGTTTATATTCTGAAGGAAGGTTCAATCGCCATAGAGTTTTAACTCTATAAACTCAATAACCTTTTGGAACCCATCCACTTATTCCTGTCTGATGGGAAAAAGATCAGATGGGCTCACAAACATTCCTTGGTTTAGAGGAAAACACCTCATTTGGGAATTCACTTGTGTCTCCCAATTTTCCTCTAGCCCCAAAAATTGATCCGATTATTATAGCACTTTATCCCTATAGTTATTTCTACCAATGGGTCTCCAGGCCCACTAAGCTATCATTCTTTTTCTCAAATTAATGGTAATGATGGATCCTCTTTTAAAATGTTACAATCAAATATCGTTGTGTTTCGAGGCAACTATCAAAGTTTCATCGGATATCAATGGGCCCTATTTTGCCCCCCCCCCCCGTCTATTTTTTAAACATATTTTTTTAAAAAATGTTATATTGATTTATATATCTTGCTAGTTTTTATTGTAGATTTTGTAAAAATTTAAAGCATTTATAAAATTAAATTAAAATTTTTTTTATAGAAATTAAATTTAGTTTGTTTTTTTAAATAACTCTATAACAAAATGCATAAATTAAAAATGATTGTGAGTGATAATGAAAAATTTGCAATAAAATATTTGGTAGGTAGATTAGATATAATTGTAATAATGAAAAACTTACAATAACATAGATTATATTTTCCATAAGGATTATATTAGCAACATTATTTTTTTTCGTTTTAGGTCTTCTGTTTTGACCCAAATTGGTATGCCTATTTTTTTTATTATCTGAGGTTGAGTACTAAAAGTTGCAAGAGTGGTCTTGATGACCGGATTTAGGTAATATTGATCTAACTTGTCCATATATTTGTCAATATTTTAATTTATAGTTGCTAAATCTTTGTTTAAGTTTGATGGAGCCAACTGGTCGATGCAAGAAAAATACCAAGTTAGAAATTTGCAATCATCCCAAGGTAAATTACTGCGTTTCAGGAAATGATAAAGCATGCTTTATATTTGTGCCGACAGCTCGCTCCTATTTATGGTGGTCCGAATTGGCATGTTTGTGACATTTAGCACATTTATGTGATATGGTTGAATTAACGTTTAAACGAATAGCCAAAACAAAACTAAATTCCTGACCATGGCGTTCCAATCCAAAGTATTTAGATGAGATTATCTAAAAAAAATTATGTCCTGAACCATTGTCCAGCAAAAGAAAAATGGTCAACAGATTGCAGCTTGGTGTACGTGCCAATGAGCGTTAGAGAATTTATCTTTCATACCAAAATTTAAATTCTACCTATATTCCCTATTAGCTACATACCAGCAGGGCCTATATAAAGCGGTTAGTAAAACAAGATAGGAGGATTATCAGGGTTTATTAAATGTACATGGGCTATTAGAAGATGGACATCTATTGGGATCATGAGAGGGTTTATTAAAAGAAGGATTTATGAGCTTTCAACCATGTTTCATAAACAAATTCCTGTTTTAATGATTATAATTATTTTCTTACTACTAGGTGGATATAATTGGATTAGCTTATTCATTAATAAATAATTTAATAAAAATAAATGTTCATGCATGATTGTTTTCGTTCCCACTCATTCATTTAACGTAGTTTGGATTTAAACCGCTCTACAGTTACAAACTAATTTTAAAAAAACTAAATAATACCAAAATCGACCTAGAGGAAACACTGGGGAAAACGATAGTTAATTTTGCGTTATTTTTTGAATTAAATTTTGAAACAAAAAAACAGAACAAATCATAGATTCATATATAGTCAAAATCCTCATCTACAAAAATAAAAAAAGGTGTAGCCCTCTACCCAAAATACTTTAAGGATTAAGCATCAGGGTAAAGTGGTTAAAATAATATTGTGATTGTTTTATTGAACAAAATATTGCAATTATAGCATCTATTCATCACTTTTAAGAACTTCAATACAATACAGTAATGTAAATTTTTTTTAAATCAAAAATAGCACATTTTGAATATGTTTATAGTTTATATTTTTACAGCTTTAATCAGATAGAACATTTTAACCGTCTTACATAACAACCTTACCCCAAGGTGATATATATATATAAATCGTTACTGAGAGACTTCTAGTTAAGCTATAAATTTCTGATAAATTTAATTTTGACTATAGGGAACAAATATGCAAAATTATGATCCTTAATGTATTTTGCTAAGAGCAAAAATAAATTATAGAGTTATTTTTGTAATTTTAGGTTAGAAAACGGTTTTTGGCAAGATATATTTTCAAAAGATGAAAACATAGGTAATAAATTAGATACAAAAATACATCTTCACACCAAATTTAAAAGTCTTTATTGCCTCAAGGGTTTAAGATAATTATTCCTGCTAACATCGTTACCCATCAATCGCTTTACCCCGATTTCCCCTACATTCAGGCGATCCCTTTTTGATTAGGTCTGACTGTAGAACTGTCTGAACAAACTTGTGTAACCTTAACTGCATTCATTCATTCACATGTTTATTTATCGTTAAATTTACCCTCTTTGATTTTCGGTCATCGCAAAACGATAAAATATGTTTATCATATAGTAAAGCAAAATGAACAAGAAAAACTCCTTGTATACCAATTTGTAGATACTTCCCTGTTTGATTTTATTAATTTTTTTTAAAAAAAGTGATATTATATAAAATTTTAGCCAATTTTTCGAAGATAAAAAAAAATATAAAAGAAAGAAAATAAAACTAAAGTGAAAAGAAGGGAGAAAGTAAAAAAAAAATAGAGAAGAAGAAAATAAAAATAAAAGAATTAAACTTATATTTTTCCAATTAAAATAAAAGATATTACAACTTAAAATAAAAGAATTAAACTTCCATTTTTCAAAAAAATTTAATTAGTTTTCTTTTAATGTAATGATAGCCACTTAAAAATAAAAATTTACTTTGAATTGGACGAGCTACTCATATTATAGTTAAAGGTCAAAGCGACAAACCAATAAATTATATTTCATTAATTTTTTATGGTGAAAATATGTAGTTTTATGAGGCTGTATATATAATATAAATAATTTTATAATTTATATCAATGCACTTGTCTAACCTGACTAGTTGATTTACTTAATTTTATTAGCTAAACCAAATATAGGCCAGGGCCTGATGTAGCAGAGGTGAGTCTATTTGACGCTTAGCAATCTCGACGTGGGAAGCAGAGGGCCTCAAACCACCCCTAAAAACTTTGGAGTCCGTTGAAATTTTTTAATTTTTTCTTAGAAAATTTTTAGTTAGGGACTTTTTGATAGAATTTTCTTTTATTTTTTGCTCATTTTAGCCAGAATTACCTTCCTTTTTTTAAAGCTAAACATAAAGATTTTCAACAAGTGATCAGGCTCCAGTTGAAAAGAATGAAATATGTTCTACTATATTATCTGACATTACAAATTTTTGATGGTAGAACATCTACATTTATATAGAATTTTGTATATTGTTCTTTAATAAATTATCAATATCTCATTTTCTCTTCATCGAACAATAAAAATATTTATAATCTGAATTAGATGCTATAGTGATCTCTCAGATAATATATCATTATGGACAGAATATAAAGACTCAAGATATAAAAATTCGAAGGTTGAATAAAAATATTATAAGTTGTATGGGTAAAATATTTCACCACTTTTGACCTATAAACTAATTCCTAAAGTTAAAATAGTTTAACTAAAATCAAATTTAACCTATTATGAAACATCCATTTTTATAATAGTTCTCTTGCGTTCGATGGGTGCACAGATTTTTAATAGTTTGAACACGAAACCCGAGCCCATATTGTTTTAGAGTTCATGAGCAAATTTTCACAAGTATATCCTTCCACTGGGATGCCTCCCAATTTGACAACTATATGTCCTTGAAACTACATAGACTGTTAATGGCTGGTTACTTATGAAAGAAAATTCAGGTTTCAATGAGGATTTCTTGAAAAGATTAGATATTTTAATATGACAGAATTTAAGCTTTGGGAGAAATTGAGAAAGAAGAAAAAATAGAGCCATTCAAAAAATCAATATAATCTTTCGTGCAGATTGCACAAGTGACAGCGAAGATGCAACATCCCTAATATAGATGAAGTTGCTATGATTTTTACAAATGATAATGGTGAACCCCCTTTTAAACGGGATATTAAAGTCTACCTCGAGTTGATGGTAATATATTAAGTCCTAAATTTCTTTTTGGCGACCTTGGTTAAAAATCAAATTTAAAGGGTGAAGGTACAAGGTGTAGAAGGGCAAATATCTCACTATTACAGTTTGATATGTGTAGATTGGCAATACGTGAAAATAAATTTAATTCAATCCTTTTTGCTGGGAAATTATCACAATAATATATTGTTGATTCCTATTTACAGGTCGAGGCAAATATTTTAAATTTTATCAGATAAAATCAGCAAAATTACAAGTAGATTAATATCTGGATTAATGGACTGCATGGAAAGAAGGTCAAAATAAAATTCCCGGTAAAGCAGTAATACTACCATCATCTTTTCAAGGTTTTCAAAGAAATAGGCGAGAAAGCATGCAATGGCCATTGTGCTCAAATTTGGTAAACCTGATTTGTTTATTACTACATGCAATCCTTGGCGTAAAATTAAGGAAAATCTATTTCCAGGGCAAAGTCCTTCAGATAGGCCTGATTTAATAGCCCGTATTTTTAAATTATAAAATGAATTTGTTCGATATAAATAAAAAAATTTATTTGGTAAATCTATGGCCTTTATATATATACAATCGAGTTCCAAAAAAGAGGTTAACCTCATGCCTATATACTTATTTAAACGATGATAGTAAAATTGAAACATCTAATGCTATAGATAAATTTGTTTGTGCCGAAATACTAGATAAAATTCTCAAACCTAAACCTTTTCAGATTGTTACCCATTTTATCATACATCATCCTTGCGGGATATTTAAACCCAAATCGCCTTACATGGAATATGTGCCAGAAAATTTCCTAGGGATTTTCAATGGGAAACAAGACCAAATATTAATGGGTTTCCATACTATAAAAGGCGAGATAATGGTATTACAATTCTTCCCGGTAAACCTACGGATAATCGTTACATATAATCGATATCTAATGTTAAAATTAATGCTCATAGTACATCTATTAAATCGCGAAAATATATCTAGGTATAATTATAAGTTCTATGAATGTGCTAATGTTGATATTAATGTTGCTTCAAATATAAATATTTATGACGAAATTAAATCATATTTAAATGCGCGATATGTGAGTCGATGTGGAAATTATTAAAACTAGCTGATAACCCGTCTCTTTTATTCAATGATAGATGAATAATAAATTTTACCTTTATTTGATGATGGACGAATCAGAAATTTTCCTATCTTATGAGATGTGGTTCAGAAATTTATATTTAGATGAGAGGTTATTCTAAAATTTACCATTATTTTTTATAAAATATGTTTATGAAGTATATATATATATATTTAGTAATTTTAATTTTTGTACGCAATAATAAATCTTTTAAACTAAATTTTTATTCCTCTGTATTTGTAATTTATAATCTAAAAAATACATTCTAGCTAAATGAGTTATGCATAACTTATTTTCGATTTAACTTTGCTCCACAAAACTCTCTTCCAGCAAAAAATACATTTTATTTTTTAAATTATAAATTACAAATACAAAATGAATAAAAATTTTTTTTAAAAGATTTTTTTTATTGTGCACAAAAATTAAAATTACTAAAAAAAAATTTTAATTAACATTTTGCGATAAAAATAAATACAATTATTTATTCAAATATGAACATTTATATATATACGAAATTTATATTAAAAATATATTAAATTTTATAATTTTAGGGAATAAAACATCAGAATGCAATTATCTGACCGTCCCTTATTCTCTTCTCTGCTTAATGGTTCAGGCCATGAGTTTCTCGAAGCTATTCCGTCTGTTAATCCGCAATTACAACTGAATAAAAACGAGCTTACTCACGCGATTGATATTCGATTAAATTGTCTTATTACCCAACCCCACATAAGTTCAGGTTGCGGTTCTGCAGTTTGGGCAATGGTAGACATAGTCTTCATTGTCGCTCATGTAAAGGTCGAATTGTAAGACATAATCTATGCAATTCTATCATCCTTAGAGCTCTTAGATCCGCTCAAATCCTCTCCACTCTTGAACCTTCTTGTCTTTTCAGATCTGATGGGATACGGCCTGACGGAATTTCGCAAATTCCTTGGAAGCGCGGTCAATTCCTGGTCTGGGACTACTCTTGCATTACTCCACTCGCTCCATCAAATCAAACAGTTAATATACTTGAGAAAAAGGAGTCACTCAAAATAGCGAAATATTCTGAAATCTCTCAAGAATATATTTTCATCCCCATCATTTCCACTACCCTTACTACTTTTGGGAAATATGCCTTATCCTTTTTCAAGGAACTCCGCTCCCACATCCGTCAACTAACCGGTGAACCCCGCGAGGGCTTCTTCTTAAGGCAAAGGCTCGCCATCGCAATACACAAGGCTAATTATATTAGCTTAATAGGCAGTCTCATTCCACAAGATGATCCTTCCTAACCTCAATACTCAAATTACTAAATATATATTTCATAAACACATTTTATCAAAAATAAAAGAAAATTTTAGAATAACCCCTAATCTAAATAAATATAAATGTCTGAATCACATCTCATAAGATAGGAAAATTTATAATTATAAAGGAAAAAATTCTGATTCCACATCATTTGGGCTATCTGTAGGATTCAATCCCACAATCTATTAAATATTTGAATTTTAAATATGGTGAAACAAAATTTAGCTTTATATTTCAAAATTATATTAGACATATAGTATTTAATATTATATTAAACAAAGTGGGATGCAAAATATGAGCTAAAATTGCTATTTTAAACTCTTATTTAATAAAATGTTATGGTATATAATAATCTTAGTAGTCAATAAATTTTTATCAATAAATATTTAAAATAATATGAATAAAAAATAACATTTAAATATTTAAGGCCACCTATAATACTTTTTTAATATAAATATTTAAAAAAAAAAAATTAAACATCAAAAGACAATAATATTTATAAAACAAAAAAAACCTATATTTAAGGAGTATATATATATATTATATTCATATAAATTTATATCAAAATTTTTCAAATGGTCATTTTTAGGTCATTATATTTATTTTTTTAAAAGTTTTTTCATAATGTGGATTTTATCATAGAATAATAGGTGAGAATTTCTTAAGAAAAAATAATTATTCGAAAATGGTATAATTTTTTTTAAGTAATACAGTGTTGACCAGATTTGATGAAAACATTTCCATATTTTTAAATTTATTTGAAAATAAAATTATTTGACTTGCAAAAAATTGTTAAAACATATTTATATATATTCTTATCAATTTTTTACAAGTTAAATGATTTTATTTGCAAACGAATGTTAAATCTGCACAACTATATTGTAAAATAAAGATATATTAAAATTTTATATACAAACTATAATAATATAAATACCGCTTGTTTTTATCGTATTCCATTTTATACTAATCAATAGAATTTCCTGAGGCGATAATTTGTAAATTGCCCTGTCGCTGTTATGGAAATCTACTATCATTATTAAAGTGTTGTGTAGATTTTGTCGCATTGGGATATGGAATCATGTGGGATTCGGAATCCCAACGTGGGGATTCAAGATCTTAAATCCCCACGTTTTTTTCGGGATCTTTTATTAAAATATTTTTTAAAACAATATTTAAAAAATATTCCCGAATCCCCATGAAAAAAAAATAAAATAATATAATTAATTTTTCTTCTCTTTTTTTGCGGCTGGCACCATATAATTAAAAGGCCAAAATAAGGGATTTAAAAAGAGAATTTAAAAAAAAGTAAATAGTATAAAATTAAGGCATATAATGAATGAAAAGGGATGAGGTTAAGACTTTTTTGTTTAAAAAATATATTTATAAAAAATCCGAATTATTGCAACAATTATTCAATGCAATATGGCATTTCGTTGAACATTTAAACTGGAACCCGAACCATTATTTATAATGGTTCAGTTTGGTTACGGTTCAGTATACAAAAAATTATAATGGTTTATTTTCTGGATGTAATATTGAGTTAGCCATTTTTAAAAAATCAATTATGAATAAGGAAAAATACTATGTATCTTTAGGTTGAGCCAAATAAGGTCAGACTCATTTAGAGATTGTTAAAACTAAATTATTTATAATAAACGCACAAATCTTATATCAAAATGTTTTTTTAAAATAAAGGTTAAGGACCAATATATATTTTTATTTAGTAATTTTATATATTTTTACATATTTTTATATAGTTGTTTTAATATTTTAGCGTTTTATCATTTTTTTAAAAATTATACCAAAATCATTATTATCAAAATAAAATTTTAAAAAATAAAACAAATAACAATGGCAATATTTTGAAGTTTTGGAACCAGGAAAATTCATTTCCTTTTTTGAGAAAATTTAGAGAGTAAAATTTTGTCAGCCCTGGCAAATTCGGCTTCTAGTGAAAGGTTATTTTCTGCAGCCAATCGCCTATTAGAGGAAAGGCGTACACAATTGAAAAAAAAAAGAAGACATTCTTCTTTTTCTAAGTAAAAATTTGGTTTTATAATATGTATTTATTTTATGTTATTATGGATTATGGAATTAAAGAAATAAATAGAATAAATTCAAAAAAGTGTAAAAAATCATCGCATTAAAGTTTTGAAAAATTTAAAAACACCGTGAATTTTCGGGTGTGAAACAAAATATTGCCTTTCGTGAGCGGGCGGGTCGGGTCGAAAATTTTTTGAAAGAGTCTTTATAAAAACAGTTAAACCGGTTCAGTTTTTATATTTTAGAAATGGAAATAATTTGAATATCAAGAGTTATATAAACGTGCTCATATAGTACTGGCGGTTCCCGCAACACAGGTTTCTGTAGAAAGGGCTTTTTCGGGGCTATAGTGTATCGTCACAACGAACAAAAAGTAATCCGTTTATACTTGAAAATATATTACTTATAAGTTCAAATAATATATTTAAAAATGAGTTATTTTGAATCTTATATATTTTTTTTATATATAATTCATAGATGCTTATAATAAAAATAAATTATAAGATGGTGTTGTTTCAATAAAAAAAAATTTATAACCGTAATGAACCTTTATAAACCTTTATAATTAGGTGAACCGAACCGAACCTTTATAAATTTCTTCTCAAGAACCGTAACCAAAACGTAACCATTATTATTTTTTACATACTGAACCGTTATAAATAACGGTTCGGGTCCCTGCTTAAATGTTAAACGAAATGCCATATAGCATTGAATAATTGTTGCAATAATTCGGATTTTTTATAAATATATTTTTTAAAACAAAAATGTCTTAACCTCATTCCTTTTCATTTATTATATGCCTTAATTTTATACTATTTACTTTTTTTTTAATTCTCTTTTTAAATCCCTTATTTTGGCCTTTTAATTATATGGTGCCAGCCGCAAAAAAAGAGAAGAAAAAGTAATTATATTATTTTATTTTTTATCATGGGGATTCCGAATTTTTTTTACATGGGGATTCGGAATATTTTTTAAATATTTTTTCAAAAATATTAAAAAAAAAAGATCCCGAAAAAAACGTGGGGATTTAAGATCTTGAATCCCCCCGTTGGGATTCCGAATCCCATATGATTCCATATCCCAATACGACATATATAATCTTATCAATTTTTATAATTTAAATAATTTTATTTACATACGAAATTCAAAATAATGTGGAAATGTTTTCCATAAAATCTGCATAACAAGCTATTCGATTAATGGGTAGCCATCTCTTTTCCTTAATTGTGTGGTAAAAAAAAAGGATGGTGATGTGGTTCATAAGGAATGTAAAAAAGAAATACATACCTCCCAGTATTTTCATTTTTTTTAAAAATACTGTGATCGGTCTTTTTATTTAGGACCAGGGTCCGGACCGGTATTTTTTCCAAACATGTGATTAAGACAATTTTTGGTGGTTAGCGACAGTACTAAAAAGAATGAAATTACCGGGGAAATATATATCTCTTTACATCCTTCTTTTATCATACAAGTGACATCAAGGATAGTAGAGTCATCGAGGGGATATTACATACAAATTATGGGCTCAGGAAATTCTATTAATAAGCTCAAAATGGAATGAGAAAAAGATAAGAGGATTTTTTTATAATAATCTGCATATAAAATTTTAAAATATGTTTAATTGGCTGCTTGCTTACATATCGCCCCAGGAGATTATATTAGTTATACTCAATGGATATTTTCCATATTAATACCAATACAATACATATTTATATTCAATATATTATATTATAATATTTAAATATAACCATCTATTTCATATTTTTTTATTTATAAAAATAATAAAAATTTGAATAAAATTTAAAAAACCAAAATGGCTATCAAAATTTTTGATTAAACATTTTTACCTAAAATAAGAAAACGCTAGGTTAAGGTATTTTGACAATGAATTATTCAGACAGTTTCTTAAGAAAAAATAGAACTATATGAATAATAACCAAAATATTTTAATAATAATACTGCTTATTTTGATTAATTTAGTGCTTAAAAAATTATAAAACGATACATTAAATTTGGTACTGAAGTGAACACAATGTGACTATAAGTAAAATGTTTCTTGGACAAACTTATGGTTTTCATATTGTAAAATAAAAATTAATAAAATCTAAAATAACTCAAGAAAAATATCATAAAATGACCGGTCCGGACCACGGTCCTCGAAAAAGATCGGTCCGGTTCCGGTCTAAGACCGATAGGACCTGACCATTGACCTTCACTAATCTTAAGTGTTATTTTTAAAAAATAAGATTCAATTAAATCACGCATTGGGCAAATTTAGACTTTGAAAATGTATATCTTTGGATCTGATTGAACTAACGCTCTAGAACTTTGATTTTACTAAAATATGAGCATAGATATCATGCCAAGTTTCGTCTATTTTAAAGATGGTCGTACAAAAATCTCGTTTTTTGGTCGATTTGACACGGAATGATGACTCATAGGTATACCTGATGTGCTGGATAAGATAATTGTGTTTATTTCTTTCAAAGATATTAGTTTAAAAAAAAGCGAAAATTCCGTAATTATAATTAATTCTTTAATTACAGTTTTAAGTAATTATTCCCCAACCCTGCCTAGATATTACACCATCATTTTTTTTTACATTTAAAAAATATTTATAATAAATTTGCATCGATGGTATTTTCTTTTAAAGGGTAAGGTTAATTACATTTTTATGAAGGATAGAAAAATTTGTTTTTTTTCTTATAACATTTACAATTTAAAAGGTCTTTGGCTAAATATAAAAAATATATTTAAAACGTTCTTTCGCACTTGTATTATAATAATATGTGTTGTTAAACCGCAGCCTATTTTTTAAAACGGCTAACTCAATATTTTAGCCAGAAAGATATTGCCATAAGCCTCGTGATTTCGAAAATATATGTCTGGACATTTGTTCCTTCCATGAGCAAGATCTTCAGACTTGCGCTATATTTTTTTCTGGAAAACAAGCCGTTAAACAACGTTAACTAATATTTGTATAATCTAAATTAATCACTATAATAATATCTGCTAGTAAAAAGAGATATTACTTCCAAAATTAAATATTTAATTAGACTTAGTTATTGGACAAACACATTAATAAATCAATTTGTTTTTTTTTTGGTAAAATAAAAAAAAAATAAAACCATATTTTAACTTTCAAATTAGTCCTTACTTTGAAAAGAAAAGGAAGAAATGAATAAGAAAGAAGAAATAATAAATAAAAGATGAAACAAAAAAATGGAAAAATGAAAGAAAGAAGGGGGGAAAGATGTTTAGTTCAAATTTCGAGATTAAAATCTTGACATGAAGGATCTATCATGTGAAAACTAAAGTAGAAAGAGAATTTTTTTTGTTTAAACATGTTTTTTTTAAAAATAATTATTATTCTCATTTTTGGCATTGACTGAACTTTATAAGCAAACTTAATTTATTTATAATATTTTAAAAATTAAATTGAATAAATTTACATCTAAACTTTGTTGTAACATTTTTTTTACCTTCCATAAGAATATGACCCTGATGAAAGATCCAATTCTGGATTTGGATACTTTGTTGGTGTAACTGATAGTCATTATAATATATATATTTTTTGCTTTTTTTTTTAGAAAAAAACAAGGAATTTGGTTAATAAATTTAATATCATCTAGATAGATAATTGGTGTTCATAAAAGCATTATGTTAGAAATGTTTTTCTGATATCTTGATAAAATAGGACCGGTAAATTTTTGCACAAATTTTTTTCTTTAGATTCCATTCGAATTATCCAGAATGATTAGCTATTTTTCCAAAATCTTTCCCATTAGAATTCCTAATTATAAGAAAAAATATGATCATCAGAGATTTTAAAGAACCACTTTTAATCTTAAAAAAATAATTATCAGATTAAAAGATTAGTAAACAAATAATATATATTTTTTTAAAAAATTTAAAAAAACAAACACAAGAAACCTTTTTAAAATATAAATAATTTTATTTTTTCGTAATGAAAAGATAATAAAAATAGAAAAACATAAAATTTTAATGAAAATATAAAATAAATTGCATATGTTCTACCTTACCTGCGCTAAAAATATTTTATGACATAAGTAAAAAATAATATACTTTTTCCCTTATAAATTATAATTAATTTAATTCTTAATGATTTCTTTAAAAAATAAAACATAATTTAATTCTAATTAATGTTAGAACACAAAAGTAGTTATTGTCCAGAAGGTATAAAAATTTTTTTTTAAAAATTTGTAGATAATATTTAATATTTATTTTGAGACTATTTATTTAAAGGTTATAAACAACCAAAAAAAATTTATTAATAATTTAAATAATAATTTTCTTTTGTATAAAGGAAGGAAGGAAAGAAAGAAGGAATTCCCGGGAAAAATATATAATCTTTTTTTTGGCATTATTCTTTTAAATTAAAATCAGGGATCCGGAATAACTGCATGTTTGAGTTCCTGTTCCGTTCCCCTTCAGGAACAGTTTATGTTCCATTCATATTTCAGAGCTTTCTGGAACACCAGTAGCGTCACTAGAGAGGGGCGCAGGGGCTCCAACCCTAAGCCTCCTCAAAATTTAGAATTTTTTTTATACCGCTAAAAAAAGGAAGGTAATTTTGAGAATGATTAAAAAATATTTTTGAGCCACCTGAGATTTTAAAGGCTAGTGATGTGGAACGCGTTCCATATCTTATTTCATTTCTACTTTAGTATATTTATATATCAATTTTTTACACTTTTTAATAAAATATTACATTAATTAAGGACATTTTTGTTAAAAAAATATTATCAGTTATAATTGAGCGATATTGTCAACGTAAAAAATTTGAACATCAGGAAACATTTCTCAATATTAACCACAATATTATCCATTGAAATTGAAAAACTTTTATTTTATAAAGCAAAGTTCAAAATATTTAAAAATATGAAATTAAACTTTTTTTTCTTCTCTCTTTCTAATCTTATATTTCTTAAAATCCCACAATTTTACTAAATAATGGGTGATAATAATATTGTTATGTGCAGGGTTTGTAAACCCTGAATTTGAGTTCGGAAATGCAAAATATTTTGGTTGGGCATTTTGCGACAAAGAACAAATAGAGACCCCTTTTCTTTAAAAATTCATTATTACTTCTTTTTTAAAATATCCTCCTTATCATATTTTTCATTTTTTTTATACTATGCATTATAGATCTACAAAACCCGAGAAACTTTTCAAAAAATTGTAAAGGGCCGGGTCGAGCAGTTATCTTTTTTTTATAAAATTTTAATAAACCAGTCTGGGTATTAAAATTTTTGATATATACATAACTTATTTCTTTGTATTTTAAGAGCGGTCTATAATTTAAAATACTATAAATCTATAAATAATATAGAAAATTTTTCAAAAGAAAATATGAAATTTTATGATATGATCCAATTATAAATACACGATACAGATATCAAATACATTTGATTTTATAAAAAATATTGTTGGTAGAAATAGTTAACTTATATATGAGTGTCTTTAATTGACATTGAGAAAAAATTAGATTTATACTAAAAATGTGATGGTAAGAAAATTAGTAAAAAATTTTAACGGTTTAGGACTAAATTTTCCTAAAATTAACGCGACGGGCTACTTGTGCAAAAATCCATACATCGCCGTGGACAGGACTTTGCAGGAGTTATATATAAAAAAAAAGAAGGGTTAAATTTGTAATTATTTATGAAATGGTATAAATAATTTGTCAAAGCTCTGACAAAAATTGACTAAGATGTTTTTTTTTATTTATTCCAGGAAACTTTAAAATGACACTCAATTTTTTTTTGAGAATATTTTTTACACTCGTTTCTAACCCCACTCCCCCAGATTATTTGCTTTTTTTTAAAAATATGCAATTATGATACTATGGATCCCAATTCTACCTCAGCAATTTTTATACTGAAGTGGACGCCACCTGGAGAAATTTAGGATTGGATACCTCGTTTTACATAAATTTTATGGGCCCGGCTAAAAACTTGGTCCAACATTTCTACGGGGCTGGTTCGGGCTGGATATACATGGATATTTGGGGAAAAAGGGAACCATTAAACTAATACATGCACACATCTAGAATTATGAATAATTCAATATCCTAAGTTTTATCAGCTGGCTAGGTTAGCTATAAAATATGAAAGAATAGAGGAATAGGCTAAATTTATCTATGAGATAATTAATAATAATAGATGAAAATAAACACTTTGGGACAAAAAAAAAATTTCCAAATTTAATAAATCTTTTAAGCGTTTTAAAGTTTTTTTTTCCAGATGTTTATGCCAAGGCAAATATTAAGAAGTGATTTCGTTTTTTTTTTCGTGGACAATTTTTATCCATAAATCTTCTATTTTATTATATTTCTTTAATTAAAAAAAACATAAACTATTAATAAATTATAAAAAAATATTAAATTGTAGAAATGTTACTCAAAAATAGATATAAGTATAATATATAAATTAAAAAAAACACATAATGGTAAAAGCTGAGTTCCAAAATGGAAATTTGACCATAGAAGCACTTAAGTATACCTTGCTCCTTAAATTATTTGGAAAACCAAATCTCTCAACGTGCATAGACTATAAAATAATTCCGAAGAATTTACTGTTCTACATTAGCCAAGCAAATATTTCTACATTAGCCAAGCAAATATATCATTTTAGAAGATTTTTAAACATTAATTTCAACATGAAAGAACACTTAATGTCAAGAAAATATAAATTAAATTCATGTGCATATTCACAAATTCTTTCTTATACATATTTTGATCCTTATCTTTTCTACACAAACAATTTTATAATTAATGATGATTGTGATTCTCGGGAAAAAATTATTAAACTTAAACAAAGTTTTCTTTCTCTTTCTTTCTTTCTTTCTTTCTTTCTTTCTTTCTTTCTTTCTTTCTTTCTTTCTTTCTTTCTTTCTTTCTTTCTTTCTTTCTTTCTTTCTTTCTTTCTTTCTTTCTTTCTTTCTTTCTTTCTTTCTTTCTTTCTTTCTTTCTTTCTTTCTTTCTTTCTTTCTTTCTTTCTTTCTTTCTTTCTTTCTTTCTTTCTTTCTTTCTTTCTTTCTCAATTTGTAGCTTGAACAGGTATTGATAAAATCTAATGATTCAGACTTTATTTCCCTTCATCTTCTTACTTTGGTTTCATATCCACTAAGTTCAGATCGTTTAATGGTCGATGCAACTAACAGAATGGAAGACAAACATACTTCTTAGCAATATTTTTCTGTTTTACTATGAAGCATCACCTAAAAAAAAATTTTCATATCGAATTCATTTTCAAGATGCCATTTTCGCTAATTCTATATTGGATTCTATCTAACTCCTGAGGTCCGATGAAATATTTGATAACAAAATTGTTAGAAACACTCTTTAGTCATCTTTTATTGGGTAATCAATTGAGAGGTTACATGTATATGGCTAGGATGTGACATAGTCTACCATGCGTGATTACACAGGTTGTAAAATATGTATATTGATTACCAAGAGGAGACATGGACAAGTTTATATAGCATTGCTGCCCATATCTAAAAATTTTCGAATGAACCAGTTTATTTTCTTCAGAGGGAAGTAAAAGAATTAAATTTTATAGATTATTATTCCTTGGGGACCTGGTAAATAACTTATTTGGGATCGATCATGTCTCCTCGTCCCCATCGCCTAAATATGAACCGATATATTAATATCGGTAGATTACAAAAAATAAAGAATAAACCAATCCCCCCCCTCCCACTCTCCGTTAGTTTAATATAAAAATGGACATTTCCTCGACATAAATTTTTTAAATTGATCACGTGATACTACGAAACCTATAGAATCTGCGACTACATAAATTTATTATGAAATTAAGCTATATTTTTGAGGGGAAAAACAAGCAATTTCAAATCTGGCAATCTTTTTTTTTTAGCAATATAACACCTCGACGACAAATAATTTAATCTTTTTTTTTTACAATTTGATTCCAACAATAATATTTTAAGTGGGAAATATGGAAATTGAATTAAAAAAGAATAAAATTAAACCTGATTTACTAATGAGAAAGATTATAAAAGTATTATATTACTTAGATAATCTAGATAAAAATTTAGCATAATATTTAAAAAAAAAATGGAAATAAAGAAATAATACACGTAGGTTTAGGTAGGTAGGATAGATGGGATAGAATAGTATAGAATTAAATAGCTTAGAAATGGAATATTTATATTTCATCGCATGAGAGTTAGGATATTCTATATCTAACAAAAATTACTCCTTTTTTTTTAAAACATTACCATTCTATTTACATTAAAAAATCGGAAATATTTATAAAACAACTCAAATTAAATCCCCTATAACAATCCTATTGAAAACAATAGAAATTTAATTTTTAAAATTGCTCTCCTGTAGGATTATAGAGTGGAGATAGAATATTCTAATTCTCACACGACGATTTATAAAAAAAAAATTCTTAAAAATTGCTAACAAATTAGTAGTTGTCATGAAAAGACTCTATGTATAACAGTAACTTTAACCTAACTAATTCGTGGAAGTGGCCCCTTCTATCCTTTCCAGAATAAAAAGTTTTACTATGTCCCTAAACTACCTTCTTATCCATAAACTGAGGGTAATCTAGAATTTCAATTGATGGGGATGATTTTACAAGGAAAGATTCTCAGTAAATCAGCAACCAATAAATAAGTCTTCAACGATCAAAAATTTAATGTTTTTGAAACATGAGGTGTAGAAGAATACGAAATCAAATACGATATTGGATATTAAAGCTTTATTCTTGTAAGAAAATTAAATTTTATTAGAATTTCC